TTTTTTTTTTTTTTTTTTTTTTTTTTTTTTTTTTTTTTTTTGAACCTCCCTTGTTGCGTGAAGCGCTTTGTGGAGCTCTGAGATTTTCGTATGGGCTGGTCTATTACGGAGTAAAAGGCCTTCTTTTCCTGCACAGCATTTCTACCAGGTAGACGACTTACTCGGAATAGAATAGATACAAGCGATTTTCTCATTTTTGAGGCTCGCTCGATGTTGCACAAACATAAATATATGTTTACAGACTTCCCTCATAACAAACTCTGTAGTTGATGGTTATTTACGTATCGAGTATTGCAAATATATATTTTTACTTTCACATCGTTCACGGGTTGACTTCGTCATCCATACTCATTATCTCAGGGATCTCGAAACTACTACTTGACTGCACTTATGGATTGGTGTTTGGATATAGTATTTGAGTACAAGCTACTCCATAGACCAATAATCAATGGCGGCTTATTGATCGAGAAGGGGCATTGCTGACTGACAATACTGGGGCTTTAACTATCTAGAATCAAGATCCTGCTCTGGTCAAGTCTTGCCAAGAAGTCTGCCATGTAATTCCAAAAGCATCATTGGTATTAAGGTGATGTATTCTGGGCCGGCCACACCAGTTCTTACCATGTGAAGTGGTTGAATAGCGACAAAACTGGAGGTTGATATGGAGGGATAGAAGGTGTTACTGTGGCCATTTACAGATCAAACTACGGCTACGAACGCGGTCCACCGGAGCATATTGAACGATTAATCAAATTCCCTGGGAATCAACCCAAATACTGCTCCGAAGAACCCTGAAATAACAAAAGGTGGTCGTGACAATCATGAAAAACTACAGAAACCCAGAAACGCCGGTTTGGCAAGAAAGAACCTAATTCCCCCTAGTATTTGTCTGAGAAGTAAACTTTTTGGTGGACTATCGCTTTAAGCATTACACTTAAGCAGCAAGCTCACGGATCTTCTGCTCAACGCGAGCCTTGCGCTCAGCGTGGGACAGCTTCTTCTTCTGGAACTTCTTGCTCTCAGCCTTGTACTCCTCCTTGGTCTTCTTGGAGCCCTCGTCCTCATCCTTCTTGAAGGGGTCCTCGCGGATGGCCTTGTGGGCCTCAGTGTAGAGGTCCTCGATGTCACCAGCCTCAACCTCGTTCTCAAGGTACTTGTGGAACTGGCCGCGGTAACGCTCCTCGTCGTCGTCGGCAAGACCCTCCATGTACTCAGCGACGTGGCCACCGAAGATGTAGGTGCGGAGAGTCTCGGCATCGAGCTCCTCGGTCTCAATGTCGAAGCCGGGGAAGCGGTTCTCGGAGTGGGGGATGAGGATACCACCGTCGGAGGCACCCTTCATGGCACCGAAGACACGGGCACCAGTGGAGGTACGGGCAAGACCGACATCAAGGAAGGCCTTGAAGGGGCGGCGCTCACCATCGTCGGTCTCAACGGCCTCGGTGAGAGCGTACTCACCGTCAGCCTCCTCAACACCGGTGAACTGCTCATCAATGCCCAGCTTCTTGAGGGTACGGCGGGCAAGGAGGAGACCGGTGGCGTAAGCGGCAGCCCAGTTGGTCAGACCGTTGGTGATGCCATAGCGCTTGAGCTCGTGGGAGTAGGCGCTGGCGAAGACCTTGTCACCGGAGAGCTCAGAGTAGACGATCTGGGTGATGATGTCGCGGTTGGTGAAGCGGACAACGAGGCGGTACTTGGGCGCGTTGTACTTGTTCTTGGCCTGGGTGATCAGGCGCTTACGGGCATAGTAATCAGTCTTGCCCTCTCTGCGACGGCGGTACTTGGTCTGGTAGCGGCTGCGAGGGTATTAGTATTTCGGCCCACCATGATCATTTCTTGCAGAGTTTATCAATCGGAAAGACTCACCTGTAGTAAGCGCTGTTCTTGACGAGCTTGTGGAAAGGCTACAAGAAAGACACTCGAGTCAGCAATTTGCGCTTCAGAAAAGGTTGTATCCGAAGCATCTTGCAAAGACCCGTTTTTCCAGTCCCACAAATCCTGTCCACGGCGGGAACAAAATCGAGACTAGTCAAGGGCGATACTGACAACACAATAAAGGTTGTCATCCGTGTGGGATAACAGCAAAACTCACCATTTTGACTGTTTGCCGCTGAGAACCGAGTTGTCGATGTTGGCTGAAGAAAAAAAGAAAAGCGAAATTGGTGGGATGACTTTTGTGGAAGACTCTCGCTTAGCGCCGTTCTGCATCCCGCCGCAAAACTGAGGTTGGCCACGAGCCCGGGAACCCGTCTTGAAGACTGGACCACACTTTTCCTACATCTCTTCACTATTTTGCACCCATCTTTTGCTGTTAGTGGCTTGGCAGTGGACCCAACGATCTTACAATTGTACCATATTGACAATTCCAGTTCTAAGATAGTACGGTTGTGGTCAAAAGGTGATACATGCATGTGCATCTACTTATCATCGGAGTGAGACATATACTAGCAGTGATATATGCATTCAATATTCTATGTTTCTCTCGAACATAGCCAGCTGTCTGCCAACAGGTGCTCAAATACAGCACACACTAAGTATATAATATCTCCGGCCTAGAGCTGGGAGAAGCTGCTTTTTCTACTAGAGGACTCGTTGGACAAAGTTTCAAAAGTTTTCAGAGCCGCTGTGAGTATCGGAATGAACAAGAGGGAAAAAGATAAAATAATACAAGAAGTTGAGTTTTGTAACTGCTGCTAGTGCCATTACAGGGATCCAACAGGATTACCCAGGCAGTCAGGGGTTTCCGGATACTGTCAGACCTCATTGTAGCAAGTCCCAGTCGCTCTTTACGAGAGGCGTCCTGGAAGTACTCCAACAATGCAAGATGAGCTAGATCGTCCAAGGTTTCTCTCCTTTCGGACAACATATGACACATGCTTTGATAATTCAGGCGTCCGCCGTGGAGCCCGAGACAGCAAGACTCGAGAATTGATCCATCAAGAAAGAGAAAGAAGGCACGAAGTTTATGGGGGGAGCGATATCGTCGGATATAAATACCTGGGACAATCCCGTCGTTCTGATGAAATTCACTAAGCTCGCACGACATTCCTATATCACAATCATCCACTACTATCTTTATAACTTTCATACAAACCCAATCTCTCTGCCACCATGGTTCAACTTGCCTCCCTCTCCGTAGCCGTCCTGGCTTCGCTTGCCCCTTTGGCTGCCGCAAAGAATTGCAAGACTGGTCTCAACTACTGTGGTTTTGTCCTCACTAGCATCGGTACGTCGCCCTACATCTAAAAGAAACTCACTCCTCTCTCTTTACGAGTCGTGAGGTATCCTAACGTGGTTCTTCGTGCCAGGCAACTACGACTCTCAAATTGCTGTGGCTTTGCAGGCCGCAAACCAACCCACGGATGATCTTCATTTTCGCGAATCTCTCTTCCATTGCAACGGAGGTGGCAATGGCGATATTTCGTTCTCGACCTACTGTGATGGTGGTTGCCAGGATGGGGGTTCTGGTAACAGTGATCACTGTTAGATATTCCTGCGACAGCCCGCTCAGATAGCAGGAGGTTCAAATATTGTCGAGAGACGGGCGGGCTGTACGGACGCAAAGATGTATTTCTGTCCTGGTGGTTATATGAGGAGGTTTATCACCATGTTACCTAAACCTTTTGTCTGTCGTTACAAATCGCAAGAAGCTTCTTCCATTGCATATCCAACCAGTATCACAAACGTAGCGCTGAAAGTCAAGCCCAATGCACCATCCGCAATGATATGGCCCTTGCAATGGATCTATGCAATTGAGTGGTTCACCACCGTTCTTTGTTCCGGGAAGCCACATCGTTGCATGTTCAGTTCAGTGAACTTAGTGGGGCCCTTAGCCTGTCCATGCATAAATGGGGGTGCGCCGTCAAGATTGGGTCACTCTGTGATCCTGACGTGCCGTTGGTATAGTTTTCGCGATACGTATTCAAATATCGGGAGTCTACTTCCGCAGAGCTGGATAAATCTAGGGGTAGATATCTTGAGCACCCGCCACGTGGTGTTCATAACACTTTGAGATAAGGTTCACCATTGCTAAAGATTGGATCATACTTCGATAATATAATTGATCTGTAAAAAACAATTCTTCACTTGGCAATGTATACATAGGGAATGTATCCATTATTTATACCATTGTAAGTGAATACTACAAATCGATTTAGTATTGATCAGATCTCTGTAGCCTTGATCTCCCTGCTCCTTCTCTACCATGACTTCGAACCAGCTCACCTTAGTATTCTTGCTTTCGCCTTACATATCTACCTCACGTTTCCTTTTAGTTATTGTGACTTTCTCATAGAAATTACTGACTATGACCCCCCTCCTAGCTACTGATTGCGAGTCGGTCGTTCCGTCGACCTCCGCTACCTCCGCTACAGTACTTGTTATCACGATGAGCATACATCGCCCTTTATCTGGTCTGCCCCATAACCATCGCACGGAGACTTTTTCTAATTGGAGACGACTATCAGCGGCGATAAATATGGTCTACGAACAGCTAGTTGAACATTGCGGAGAAGGAAACCAGTGGATTATTGTTTTGGGGCTATCACGCAATGCAATCCAGCGGCTGGGCGATGAAAGGTCGCGTGATGGGATTTCCTTCAGGTTCGAGCACGATGGCAGCACTGGGATTATTAAAGTCCCCGGCCCTGGACATGAAATCACGACGGACCGTGTGAAGACCAAGATTAGCTTTCTCATGCTGCGTATGGGGATTGAAGACCAATACTGGGTGGCTGCAACGAGGTACCAAGCCACTGGAGGTAGTAAAAGTAAGGAAGGCGACCAGGGATTCCTGCCACCTGCTCGGCAACCTGTGGGCACATTGGCAACAGATGTCTGTCCGTTCCCGACTCTCGTCATCGAGACTGGGGTGTCTGAATCACTCCCCAAGCTTAGGGAAGACACCCTCTGGTGGTTCAACCATTCAGGGGGGGATGTGCGCATCGTTCTTGTTATCTGTATCCGGAAACGTGTGCGGCAGCCAGTTATGCTGATTGAAAAGTGGCAGTTGGCCCCTCCGACTCCTAGGCCACTTACAAGGGGAGTTATTCAACAGCTTCAACGGCAAGTGCCATATCCAATGCCACCTCAAATTCAGCAGCAGCCGGGTAGTCAATATGCATACTGTGCCCAGTCTATCGAAGTTACGCCCCAGGACCTTGCCGGTCCATCGCTTATTCTTCCCTTTCTCGCTGTTTTCGACCGCCCGCCAGTCGCTCCAGAGGCTGACTTGATACTGACTACTGAAGTGCTTGCGTCGTGTATCCAGCATCTTTGAAGGTAGCAATTTACTCTGTTTACAATCATATATCTCTTAGCACTGCCACGTATTGGGAAAGATTCACCGCAGCACAAACAATCGTATATGACGTTTCATAGGTGACAGTTTTAGACCAATCTCGGTCTGTAAGGACGCCGGGTTCTTCATGCAGTATGGGTTGGAGATGTGTAAGGGCGTAAGTGGTAGCCCAGTAACTGGCCTTCCAACAAATGGCTTGGACAAGGAATAAACAGGGAAAGATACACACTATATTACCTCAGGCCTATACCTGATATAGACACTTAACTAGTCAAATCACGCCTAAAAGATCGGGTAAGAGAAGCTTATCGCACTCCAGGCAAGCATAAGGACAACGGCAGCCCGGAGGTGTGCCGATTCAAGAGCAAACAGTATAGTTAGAAAAAAGAACGAAGAAAATAGATAAGCAGGAGTCTTTCGTATGATATATAAAGTAAAAAGTATACTTGCCTTTTCTTCTAATTTCCATTTCTATTCCAACAGACCTTGTGAAAGCAGGCTTAAACAAATATACACAAAACTAACAACAGTACTGGACTTAGATATAGCAAAGATATTTTGCTATATCATAGCTATATAGATTTGTTTTCATCTTTCTACTACTAGAGCGCCAAGGAATCTATATCTGCAGCCCAACTATGATGAGATTTCCATGGTTCGGCTAATCGAAGTGATGTCTCTGACCATGTGCGGAAATAAAGCGGAAGCGGAATGACTACCAACTCCTAAAATGATAAACTTTTTGCCTTGATAGTAGCGTCTTGAGAGCCAAAAGCTGTTAGCCTTCAAGTGAGCGGGGTTCGGATATAAGCTTCTTATCTTCTATCCGCACAAGACCATCGGGGTTTGCTTCGGTGACTGCGGTATCATGGATCTATGTTCCGTCCGTTGAAAAGGAGCTGGTACCCCCCATGCTCTTCAGTCAGACATCAATCTTGCTATTCAATCAATTGCAAAACTACCCAATATGGCCCCTGTTTGCGTCGGCACAGTACAAGCCGAACCGGTTTTCCTCGACTTGGACGGTTCCATCAACAAGACTATAGACATAATCCGGCAGGCTGCCGCGAAAGGCGTGCAAGTCCTAGCCTTTCCCGAGGTTTGGATCGGCGGGTATCCCTGGTACGATGTCTCTACTATACCACTCCGCAGGGTGAGCTAATTCTTATGCATGAGGCCAATCTGGGCAAAAAATGCATTCGAATCCTCCGAATTCTGTGCGAAGTACATTGCACACTCTCTCCCCAGAGATTCCGCACATATGCGTCGCATCCAAGCCGCCTGTAAGGAGTATTCGATATTTGTGGTCCTAGGCTACAGCGAGAAAGACGACGGAAGTGGAAGCATCTATATCTCGCAGGTAAAACTCCAGCCCGGACAACTGTATTGCGTACCGTGCTGAATAGCTGTCCACCTTACAAGGCCTTCATTAGCTCTACTGGTGAGATCGTCCATAATCGCCGCAAGATCAAGCCCACGTATGTCGAGCGCTGTTTGTGGGGTGACGGGCAGGGCGACTCACTCAAGTGTGTGGTCGATTCGCCCTTTGGAAGAATCGGCGCTCTGAACTGCTGGGAGAACTTACAGCCCCTGTTGCGGTACTATGAATATTCACAGGGCGTCCAGATACATGTCGCAGGTTGGCCGTCTGCCCCATCGCTTGAGAAGCTTGAAGTCCCCTACCCGTACGGGTGTACGAGCGAGGCTTGCCTGCGGATCAGTCAGATGGTGGCGCTAGAGGGCCAAACATTTGTACTCTGTTCCACGGCGATTCTGCGTAAAGAGAAGCACGAGATGATGGGACTTAAGGATAAGGGAATCTTCCATGAGGTATGAAGGTCTTGCATCGTGATTGCCTGCCGGTAGGGCGAGGATATACGCTAACAGGTTGCAATTACTAGGATGATGGTGGTGTGGCCATGATCTTTGGCCCCGATGGCCGACCGTTGGTCGAGCCCTTACCGCGTGGAGAAGAAGGGATCTTGACAGCTGAGGTCGACTTGGAGATGATCTATATGGCGAAGAGTTTGTGCGACCCTGTTGGACATTACTCTCGTCCAGATCTGCTAAGCCTCAGGGTGAACTCGGTGAAGGCCGAGGTAGTGCACCATGTCTGAACAAATTACGGGATAATTTGTGGACAGATTCGGTAGCATAGCGATATGATTGAGGTAGGATTTTTATCCAGTCGTTTTCCTTTCAATATTTACAATGTCGATATCAATCTCTATTTTATCCTTTATCCGATCTTTGTATCTTACTACTGGAAGGTATACAGTTCCTTTAGTATATTCAACTATAGTTGTTTGATGCTAAGTTAATTTATCTCACATCGAGGGACAGTAGTGACAGAAGTGCATATACTAGTAATCCTGCAGCATCTAGAGAAATGTCCGTGACGATCGCATTCTACACTAAAGATTATCTCCAAAGTTCCTTTAGAAGGATTATATGATTGATGTTAGGCGCCCTATGTCGAATATACTATGTACCATAGCAGTTAGTACCTGTAAATAGTATCAAGGAGTGCCAGATTTCTTGTCTAAAAGAACCACGATTTGTTGTAATTATACTCCCTAAACAAGGGGCTCTCTCAAAAAGAAATTATAAAATCAGTTTGAGGTCAGAAGCCATTTAGGAAGATGATTTATATTAGCTGAAACCCTCTATAGCTGCGATGTATGCTATTACTGCCTGTGAAGCGGACCTTAATTATAAACCTAGAGGCTGTAATATGTTTTGCCCTCGATTGATGAATTAAAATGAAGGGAATGCGGAGTGGCCGCTCTGAGCCTACCGCGTACTTGTCTCTATAACGAGTTTAGTCGCTTGGCGGGCAGCTTAGTTAAGGGAACAACAGAACATCAGAACCGAATCATCTTCATTTCTTTTCACTGTTTAAAATTCCATTCTGATTAAGTCTCTATATTTATCCACAAAGTGGGGGAAGGGAATTCCTCTCGCGATGCTCTTCCAACTACAATCTCGCCCGATCCGACCCCTCCAGCAATGAAAGCCCCGTGATCTTCTCCAACTCCTTGACAGCGTCCTGGGTCCGTCCCAGATTCACCTTAACTGTCCTCATCCCCGCATTCTTAGCGCCCTTCAGATTTTCCCCAATATCATCGAAGAAAACAATGTCCGACGCACCAACCTCCCTCAACCCCTTCTCCCGCGCCAACCGGTTCATCTCGCGAATCGCGAATTCATAGATCTTCGGATCCGGTTTCCTCAGCCCCGTATGCGCCGACGAGATGAAGAAATCAAACAGCCCCTTCACGCCACTCTCGTCCGTATTGTAGGGATGCCCGTCAGGAAAAACGACAGTATTCGACAGCGCCCCCAGAATAAACTTCCCCGAGGCCTTTAACTTCTTCAACGCAGGCGCCATGTAAGGGTCCGGCGTCCGGGATATCCGCATCATTTCCCAGAAAAGGAACTCCGCGTCCAGCTGCGGGAGAGGAGGGAGTGGCGACGACGACGACGACGATGGGGCACCGGTCGTAGACTGCTTTTTCTGAAGTGTTTCGTGGAACTTCTGCCATAGATCTGGGTTGCTGAGGTCTTTATTGAATTCTTTGAAGAAGGCGGCGTCGAGTTTGATTTCGCCGCGTTCGAGCCGGTGCCAGCTGCCGCTGGGCGCGGATCGCGAGATACTGAAGTTGACCCATCCTGGGGGGATTTTGTTGGCGATTTCGTAGTCGAGGATGGCTTGGAATGGGGAGAGAACCTGGGTTTAATCTGTTAGTGATGGGGCTCGTTCGTCTCCCCGGGTTGGTATAGAAAGGCGTACGCAGACTCCGCCAATGTCGAAAAGTAGCCCCGCGGGCTGTGTGGTTTCTGCCATGGTGGTTCGCTGGTGGAAAGACGCGTATGGCTGATATGCTTGTGTGACTGGTTTTCTTTTGCGAAGACTTTTGCTGTAAGAGTAGAAGTCAATCGCTAGGGATGGGGTTTGTAACGTGTTTGCGGAGAATCATTGGGTTTGGCTGATGGATGCATTGATTAGATTGCCGAGGTTAGATTGAGTTCTTATCAGCCAAGGATCGAAGGCCGAGGAAGAGCTACTATGTCCCATATCCACTAAAATTATAATTCCCGTGTACTTGGATACTATGGCATAGAGATTTAATTAAATGCTTGTTCATATAGCTTGTACTTTGTAGTAGTTTTATTACAGTCCTGTGGTGAATACGGAGTACCATTTGCTTCACTATCCGACATTTTCAGGCTACCATAGCAACACTATAGAGTACGATGCTTTCAGTCGCAGATAAAACATGAATGTATTCACAGCAGTTTAAATCTAGAAGCAATAGTGCAACACACGACTATGAACGCGATAAAGCAACCCACAATCCCAAAGAACCAGGCCAGTCCAGGCACATCCTGACCAGGGACGGTGACGTTCATTCCAAAAAGTCCCGTCACCATATGCAGTGGAACGAAGATTGTGGCCAGGACAGTCACCTTGCTGAGGACTTCGTTGATGTTCAGACTCAAGCGGAGGTTATTGGCACTGATCTGCGCGAGGCAGTTTGACTGCGATCGGCCGACGATCTCATCAAAGTGCGACAGACTCGACATAGTAGTTACCAGATGGTCCTGCACATCGCCCAGATACATGATTAGATCGCCATCGGGAAAGATGGGTTGTTTGTCTTTGGCCTGGCACCGCTTGACGAAGCCATTCAGGACGTCCACCTTGCCGCTCAGAGCGCGGATAAGATACGTGATCTTTTTGCGAAGATTTTCGGCACGGGGGATGAGGGATCTAACGTCGTCTACACGAGCGATAAAGACCTCATCCTCGATGGATTCGGACTCACGTTCCACGGCATGCAGGTACGGTTCGAAGCTGTCGATGATATCGTCTCTGTGCAATAGTGTTAGGGATATACCGAGTTCACGGAAGGCATGGGACATACATCAGAGCATAACAGACCCAATCACCTGACAAGGTGGCTTGATCGGGGTGTCGGCGGATTCGATCCCTCACCCGGGTTATGTGTCCATTCCCACTAGGAGAGAAGGTCACCGCCCCGTTCTTGAAGACGAGGATGTAGCACCCTGCAGAGGAAGGCGTTGATGAGAAACTCTCTGCCGAAGACTTAGGTTTATCCTTCTCTTCATTTTTAACGGCAAAGTTCACCAAAGTCTGAAACGAGATTAGATAGTAGTTCCGGAAGACCTCGACCTTCTCTCGTGGCTCACGCATGGTGATATCCTCTGCCGTCAAAGGATGAATAGACAGCACTTGAGATACGAAGTCGACATCCTGCTCGGTGGCATCGCTAATGTCCAGCCACCAGACATTCCCTTTGGTCCTTTCGCTCTCCTGCAAGTGCTTGATGAACTGGTCGGAGAAGATATCCGCCCAGCTGGAAGAGGAAATGACCTCTTGAGTCTGCGAGGAGAAATAGCTGAACCGGGGAGCCTTTTCGGAATGCATTTTCAAAACTCGAAGCGATACTCTCTTGATGACGCTTTGATCATCCTTCGATAATCATCTAGTCTAGGAATTATCTGTCGGGCCCGGTACAGCTGGGGACAACAGCGAAGGTGCAGCAAAGTTAACCCATCGAATACCGATAGACATCGAATAGATTTGAGATGGAACCGAAGAGGGTATAGCAGAGATTTTCATATAGGAATGCTGGATACGCAACAATTTCATCAAGGCTGATGTGTGTGTCTAGCTAGTAGAATCCTACACTGAGAAGAGGAGGAAGAAGGAAAATAAAGGATTGGGAAATGACTGGGAAGAAAATTGGCCCTAAAAGTACCAGGAGACGAAAAAATGGAGCCGTCGGGCGAGCGCTGTGAAGTGTGGTTACATGCAGCAGTCCGCACATCCGACTTGGTTTTTCATGGCATCCATGACATCCTCGATTGCAGTTGATTTTATTTGCTCGGGTGCATTGCCACATCACTGATTGACCGCAGTAAATGATGGTAAATCTGCTGCTGTTCACTGTCCATCCTCCAGAACATCAAGTTTCACTGTATAACATTCTATAGATCGAGTCCTCGTTTCGCCAGATCAGAACGGTACAATATGGTTGCCTACGAAGGATTCTGGCATAAAAATTTAATACAGCAAAGCGATGTGTCATTCGGGAAGACGCCGGCTTCCCCGTTTGGGGTAACCAAGTGGGTCATTTAATCTGCCTTATAGGGCTGAGTGTACACAGTGCACCAGGCACTGGGTGGATCAGTCAAGTGGAATATGCGAAGTACATACTCCGTACAGAACAGTACACGAATCAGACGTATTGCATACTTAATTCGTAGTTCGTTGCTGAGTTGGAAGACAGACATCGTGCATGGATGGAGGCCGGTGGAAAAGTGTAAAACTCTGCCCGGCTGCTTTCTTGGCTGTGGAGACCAAGAATGTTGATGCCTAGTTGAAGTAAGGGGGACCTTGGGGTAGCATACTGCTTGGAAGACACGGAGGTTTGTTCCTCGACGATTTTGTAACCAAGCTAATACGAGAAGTTGATATTGTTGATGCTGGTCTCACGTCTTGCATCGCTCAGACTGATAAATACTCGAGATCAAGTTATACCTTAGAGCTGACCATGCCTAGAGATATGGACCGAGAACTTTACAAAGTTTCCTTCCCTTCAACCGAGCCTAATAGAACTGTGTTTTCTGTTTAGATGTATACACAGCAGCCCTGTAGTATTTATACTAGACCCTTTCCAATATATGTGTGTTTGCGAGAGGAACTATGAATGGTTAATAATCCACGGACAAGCTCCCCTGTCCCATCGCTGTACCATTTCTCTACTGGCTTAACTTCGATGGTTGTGTGGTGAGCTTGGTTCTTATTCTCATCCAGCCGTCGCCTTTCACCGTGGAATTTCATTCAAATCGACATTCTGATTACCTGGAAAATAACTCCGAAGTGTGAGACCCAGAGAGAGTTCTCGAGGAGCAAAGCTCCTGCGTTTTTCCCACTGACACGTGTCCAAGGCAAGTACTTGTTTAATTGATTGTGTTCAGTTGGTTGAGCCCTGGATCAAGACTCCCAAGCCCACGATGCAAAACAAGTCAATATCGGAAACGGACGTCAGCGAGCGCCCGGCGCGCTTGTTCGAGTCTGCATTTGACTGAGTCCTTCTCATATTTATTGACGTAGAATCTGGCGGACCCACATAAATCATCTCTTCGGTGGGAATGATGCGCTCTGTTATGTACAAATGTGTCAGGGATCCGTATCCAACCCACTGTATGCTTTCCACGTTACCAACGTATCCAACGTTAATTGTGAAATCAGCTGTACGGACTCTGTAGTAGAAGATTATTATGATAGACATGTTTGTGTCACCTCGATGGCTGCCAGGCAGGCGGCCGAATTGGGCAGAATGACAGGCGACGCGTGTAGCTTCTGATCGGCTGGGCACTTAACGCACAACTAATTTGTATGAAGAACTCAGGAAACGTTGCGGTATATCGTCAGAGTCCACCTTTATCCAAAAACCCGAATCACTGCTCAGTGTCACGGAAGCGAGCAGAATGGGGACTAGGGGGGCCCGATGGACCTCTCCTGGATTTTTTGTTTGGATGCTGTAAGCATCATCGATAGCTGCGAATCGACATTTTACTAATAGTTCATCGCCTTATTGTAGGCTTGTTCATGCAGTCGGGCTCTATTTTTTCGCCAAGGGTTTCCTGTTGTCACGAAGAGTGCTGGAGTATTCTAGCGCCTGTACTCGGCCTCTACTACCGGTATTCCCAAGATATGAATTCCCCCATCTTGAATCTACTCAGAGTGGATGTTGGATGCCCCGATCCTTCGACAAAGCTGTGATTCTGGTTATCGATGCGCTACGATACGACTTCACGGTGCCACCTACGCCACAGTTATCCGGGGAAAACGTTCATCAGCCTTTCCATAATGCTCTTACCATACTACACGAGAAAGCAACGCAAGAACCCCAAAATGCAGTTCTCTTTCCCTTCATTGCGGATCCGCCTACAACAACCTTGCAACGGCTGAAGGGTCTGATGACAGGAACACTGCCAACATTTATCGAGGCTGGGGCTAATTTTGCCGGTTCCGCAGTTTTAGAGGATAATCTCGTGACGCAACTACATAAAGCAGGAAAAAGGCTGGTGCATCTCGGGGACGATACATGGACAAAGCTGTTTCCGAATCATTTCTTACCCAATCTATCTCGAGCGTACGATTCGTTCCTCGTTGCCGACCTCCACACGGTCGACAAGGGTGTGGAGGAACACCTTATGCCTCTAATCAACCATCGTCAAGATGAATGGGACGTAATTTTTGGCCACTTTTTAGGTGTCGATCACGCTGGTCATCGATTCGGCCCCGCACACTCGGAAATGACCAATAAACTGAAGGAAATGGACCGCGTCATAGGAGAGGTTGTCAACTCTATCGACGAAAACACGTTGCTTGTCGTGCTGGGTGATCATGGAATGGATGAACATGGAAACCATGGCGGCGAAACCGAGAATGAGGTACAGGCGGCGTTGTGGATGTATACTCGGCGCAAGCATTTCGGTCATTTGCTGGTGCATCCACAGGAGCCGGCCTCGTATCTTAAAAAGTCTGCCGTTCATCAAATAGATCTTGTTCCGACCTTTTCACTCCTTCTGGGAATCCCCATTCCCTTCAATAGCCTGGGGATTCCTATTAAAGAGGCTTTCCTTGGAGCAGCTGGAGACGACTGGGAGCAACTGGTGCGTTCATACATTCTATCGTTTGGACAGATTGAACGATTCCACCGAGAATACTCGATAAGGAAGGAGAATACACGGCATTCCCTAGAGTACAACCACACGAATTTTCCTCAGATTGTTCCCTGGCAAAAGCTTGATTTTCAGGACAAAGAGTCTCTGAAGACCTTATACCAGCAATTATGCGACTACCAAGGGAAGATACTGGAGAATTACAAACGCATATGGGCCCAGTTCAACATGGCTCACATGATAGAGGGGTTGACAGTCTTGTCATTTGGAGCTGTCGCACTGCTACTTCGTGTCTACGCTTGGGACCAATGCAATTCCATCCCCAGCGCTTCTTCCAGTACAATTAAAATGGCGACTACAACGTCCATAGCCGCTTATTTAATCCATATTGCTGTAGCAGAGCCAGAGAAACCGCGCATGATGGATGGGCTGATTCTGGGAGCTACGATGAGTAGCCTCATGCTATTCACCTGTCGATTTCATCTAATTAGGATGATCCAAGCACCCATGAAACCTCAAATGCCGGCCTTCTTGGACGCATTGGCGATTTTATTTACTATTCTGCTATCTATCGGATTTGCGTCCAATTCATACACGGTATGGGAAGATCAGATTGTACTAACATTCCTCGCAACATTTGGCATATGTACCATTTCCATGTCATATAGGACCTTCGACAGAAAAAAGAGTACGCTAGGGGCTCTTCTCTCCGTATTATTTATGGTCCTGGTCAGGGTGGTCTCACTAAGTCGTTACTGTCGGGAAGAGCAACTTCCATTTTGCGTGACGACTTACCATCGCCTGGGTAATGCCATAGGCTGGAGATTGCTCATTCCGTATCTGATAGCCCTACTCATTCCAATGGCCACTCAAGTGGCCTTTGGTTCAGATTTGATATCTCAAAACTTGGGGGTCTGGACGTGGTGTCACATTGGTATGCCCATGGCTCTTGTCTTCAATGCTGTTTATTGGACCCTCGATTCTGCCAATAGAAATGGTTGGCTTGAAGGTAGACACTTCAACATCTTGTCTAAGGGGCCTCGCATTTTCTTTTCGCAGTCCACTTTAGTCATTGCAATTGTTGGAAGTGGAATGGCTCTCACTTCAAAATGGACTACGGTCATGACTCCTGTCCAATATAATATGATCATCACTACATCCGTCTTGGTGATCAGCATTTTGGTGAGTGGTCCGATGGGAGGTGGTTCCTTGTCCATACTATATTTCCAGATCCTGAGCCTACGCAAACTCCTCAATCAGACTCGCAACTATGCTATCGGACCTTCAATTGTTGCGCTTTTAGGGACCCTCCACTTCTTCAGCACTGGCCATAATGCAACCCTCTCCAGCATCCAATGGGAAGCTGCTTATATCCCATCCCAGGACCTTCACTACCCTTGGTCCCCGTTGTTTGTGGCCCTAAACACCTTTGCTGGCCCAATTGTAGCTGCATTTTCGATTCCGCTGATCATGGCACGAGATGGACAGCCCCAGGGAATTCATCGTGTAGCCAAGTCACTCGAAATCCATGTTTTGGTCTACTCGGTATGGGCATTGTCAGCGGCAGTATGGGGGACTATCCTACGACGCCACCTAATGCTCTTTGCTATATTCTGCCCTCGATTCTTGATGGCTGGTGCCTTACTGCTGGTCATCGATGTTATCGCGATAATAATTTCATTGATCACTGCTATGAATACTAAATGAGAGGATAGGGGTTTCAAAGCAATCAAACAGTCATGTCGGATGACACCTGGTCACCAGTCATTCCCGATAAAAGCACATATCCTGTAATGACTCCCTGATTGTTGAAGATGGAGAGCCATTTTCATAGCAGTTGACTCAGATAAAACATCAGCCCAACATAACCCAGAATATCCATCCCAGGAAGTTGTGAAAAAAGGCTGGTTGGCTAGCACCAGTGTGTATAGCATGCCTGCTCGAGAAAAAGCACCTAGTCAGTTGTTTATGCTCCAAATATGAGGAATCTATTCAACTTACACGACGGCATTTTTCGTTATGATGTCCGCAAGACTATCAATTGCCGTTAGTACGATCCTGGTCGCAAGGCTATGGGAGGATTCTCTACCTTAAGACACTTATTGTATCGAGTGATGTCGCGGCAAAGCGACGGGGCAGCTTCAGTGTCCGCCAAAACAGAATCGTCGGTCTCCGTCTCTGCTGGAGCAGCAATAGCCAGGGCTGCGAAAAGAAGGGTCAGGGGTATGTAGAACTTCATTTTGAAGGCACAGAACGAATCGATGAGTTCTTCAAATGGCTGGTAGATCTTTGTGTGATACCTCGGTGGTTAGATTGATACAAGATGTCTCTAGAAGAGGCATGAACCCATATATTTATAGTCAAGGTCTGAAGACTTCCCATACTCAGCTAGAAGGAAATGCGGAGATGCAAACTTGTGAATGTAACATATAAGCTGACATTTTGGCAGATCAAATGCAACTTAATGCTCGCAAGCATCTGTGTCGATTTATTGGTAAGAGGCAATACTCTCCGGATAGCATAGGTCGTTCATAGCCATCCATGTGCAGCCTGTCCTCCTGGTAGCCTCCAATCACAATACCTCCGAGTCAACACAGAATGGTATTCCTAGTATAAGTGGCAGCGCCTGTCACAGGTTCCCCGCCTCAGCATCGAATGCCTTCCAGGAGAGGCCTTCTACGGTATGAGCTAGGACGAACGGTAGCTAGATCGATAGTAATTCAAATTTCGTTTAACTGTGACTAGATGCTGTAGTAAAATGGCCGAGCCAATCCGATTATCTGCTTCATCACTCCACAGATTCCAGAATGTCGCTCTATCTGCCCAAGCCGTCGACTCGTTGACATTGAAGCATGTATACAATCTGAAGACCATCAAGGCTCACAGTCAAAGTACAGGTAGCATCACCATCTCTTCTATCGAGACTTGAACACTTTTGACAGACACCAAGAATGACCACGCAACTTGAATTCACTTGAGATACAGTTGGTCCCTGGGTGTATGTCGCTATTTTTCCACAATGCTTACTTCCACTCTTGGTTCGGAATCTTCAGATAGCGTGAGGAATGGTGGGCTTGCAACTGATATACTTTCCGAAGGTGAATGAGCCCTTAGGGGTTAGAGACGTCTGTTAGTTTGATACTTCCACAATTGATCGCCTTTCCGTGGTCGTGATCCTTCCTTCACTAGGTGATAATCACCGTTTTACTTGTCTGAATCCGCCTCTCGGCGGTGTACAGGGGGCTGACACTGGATGTTTGCTCGTACGAGTTGACGGTGGATATTAACTTCGGATGTTATATGGTGCGTTAGATTGATGATTATATATCATATGATAAAAGCCCAGGTATGACAATGTCGTATATGTATATTCCTCTTCGTGGGGAAGAAATCGTATGAGCATATAGCTTCAGGAAAGTAGTACAGTCGTATTCAAGATTAGGCCCATTCAACGAATGGTGGTTTTTTAATTCCACGTAAGAAAATTGGCAACCAAGAATGGACTCGAACGAAGAGGGAAGAGCCACAGCCACTCCATGAGGGCCGTGGACGGTAGTTGAATCTAACATCGCGGAGAATTTTCTACTGGTCCGTTCCCCTGTTGTGAGACGAACCCGATTTTGTGGCACCGATGTTATCCAATGGGATAGGCTCCCCCGGTGACATTTCGAGTTATGGTTGTATCATCCTCCTGGCTTGTGGCATCTCTGTACCTCACAACGTCACTGTCAGCCTCGTTCAACAGAGGGTCTGTATCCAGACTTGGTTCGGATTTCAAACACAGAGTCCTTTTACTCCGTACCCCACACTTCTGGTGTACCCTAAAACGAGCTAGAGCCTAGAAGTGATATGCACATGGCCTGCTGCATGTCAATCGGATTTCGGACGCAGACTCCGATTTGCCCTGAGATATAGGTTCGGTTGCATTTCTAATCTGGAGGAAAAGTCACTGTTATATGGTTTGCCATTGCCGTAACACAGTAGCAACGCCACCTATCCATGGTTTTGCAATGACTGAGGCGAAGTCTTACACTATAGATGGGTATTATCCAGACACGTTGTCCGACCCCCTCCCCCCAAAAAGAGAAAATACTAGTAGGACAATGTCAAGTTGCAGTGAGCTCGGGCAAGGATCCGAAAACAGATCTTTTGCTGATTCTCTCTCTTTCAGTCACCATTGAGACACATTACGCATAAATTCAAGAAATCAATATTGCTGTCTGATATACTGGACACTCCGCCCAATTTATCAATCCCGACGTACATGGGAAGAAACACTGTAGAAGCCTACTAAATCCGAAGTGGGTGATTGGCTGCCTTGTCCTAATGGCATGAACATGTGACCCGACGCAAAGAGACAAAACAAATCGATGCGGTGGGAATTCCTCTCATCCTCTAGTAACGCACCATGGAGAGAAGGCGACTATTATATACACTAAAAAAACAAACATTCTTCCACACCTCTCGATTATCGTTTAACCAGGGCATAGTATCTAGTCTTTTATATACAGGATCGAGCAAGCGTGGCTTGGCTGACCTTCGCTCCCCCTTGGAACCACGCGTCTTCCCTACTTCAGGGTGGGATAATATTGACCCTTCCTTACCTGTTGAAGAAGAGTCAATTCCAAGTTATAGACCTGAAAAATTCTATCCAGCCCACCTTGGTGAGGTATTCAATCGCCGATATCAAGTAGTCGGCAAATTGGGATATGGATCTAGCGCGACTGTATGGTTGTCTCGTGACTTACTGTAGGGGCTACTGACCCCCATTTTGCGCATTCAGTCTAATAGGGCAGGGACCACCATTACGTAGCTTTAAAAGTTTACACAGCGTCAACGATGGTGACCCGAGAGATTGAAATATACAATCATTTAAGTACCATCCAGTCCACCCACGCGGGTCAGTCATGCCTGCGACCATTGATTGAAATCTTTCAGGCCCAGAACCCAGGTAGAGAGGGTGTTCATACTTGTCTGGTGCATCCACCTCTTGGAATTAGCCTCGACCAGCTCACCCGGCTGCTGCCAGATAGGGTCATGAGCAGCGCCATGGTGAGAACTACCATCCGGAATATACTTGCTGCTTTAGATTTCCTCCACACGGACGCACGGATAATACATACCGGTCGGTACCAACTCTTTAAAAAAGCCCTCACCGCGATAGGGCGAATAGGAAGTAATAACAGATAGTATAGATCTCCAACCAAATAATATTCTCCTCGGCATCAAGGATAACTCAATTCTATCCGAATTCGAGAAAGCAGAATTTGAAGCTCCTGTGCCACGGAAGATACTTGAAGATCGTACCATTTATCTCTCACGGCCTCTCCCCATCTCCTGTGGGACACCCGTTCTCTGTGATTTAGGCGAGGCTCGACTAGGTACCGACCAACAAAAAGGCGATATCATGCCGGATATCTATCGGGCACCGGAGGTCATCTTAGACATGAGTCGGGACTACAAAGTTGACATCTGGAACGTTGGGATGGTGGTAAGACAACCCATGCAATCTTATTGCCACTTCGACCCATTATGAAGCTAATTAACGTGGAGATTTGGGATCTGTTTGAGCACCGTCACCTTTTTAAAGCCCGAGATCCCGAGGGTAAGCTGAATGATGAATATCATCTCGCCGAGTTGCAAGCGGTCTTAGGAGGTGCTCCTCCTCAGTTGCTCGCTCAGAGCGAACGGAGTCCCCACTTTTGGGATAAAAATGGTTAATACAGCCCTTTCCGACGAATAATTCCATAAACGTGGATATAACTTGGCACTGACAATTTTTGATTTTCTATTTCAGGTGAATGGAAAGGCGCAGTTCCCGTTCCAGACTACACCCTCGAAACTCTGGAAGAAAGGCTCCAGGGTGATGAAAAGGCCGACTTCCTACGCTTTCTCCGACGAATGTTATGTTGGCTACCCGAGGAAAGAGCCACCGCGAAAGAGCTTTTATTTGATCCTTGGCTGATGCATGGCCTTTTTAAGTGAAACCAGGATGGCTACTGAGCATAAATCCTGCTACGAAGGGCCGTGTTCAGACAGCAGGGAATCCCCTGTTATCTGGAGTAGTTCCCAATCAAACAGAAGATCTACATTCTCCAAATGAACGTACAATGTAGTCCGTTAGCCAAGTAAAATATCTGAAATAAAATATATACATCTGCGTGATGGAACTAACAAGATGAACAGACAGGAGAGTACATATGGGAAATGAGACCTGTTTACTCTAACCCAGTATCCCGGTGGGAAGTTCATTAGTCAAGCATGTCGCCGCTATCAACCCAGTTACCATGTAGACCCTGGCGCAGTCGGACTGGCAATTTAATGATCGAGCGAGCCTTCTTGAAGTCCCTCAAATCCAGAAGATGCAGCTCACTACTCATAGAATCGTAGTTATTGATCAATGCCAGCAGATAGCCATCGCCCTCCACGTCAGACCCAGCCCTGGGAATGAAAACAGGCTCTTGAATCAAATGGTTTCTTCCAGGGAAGTATACCTCCGTCTCGCCCGTCCGAAGATCAAGATGTGCAAGGGCATTGTAAAGTGGGTAGCCACCACCAAGCCGAGGCTCGATAGCCTGGAAATCAGTCCCTAGAGATCGATCCATCAGATCAAAAAAGCAGTGTTGATGCTTCTGCGTGCTCAGACGATCATCGACCCGGTAGAATTCGCTGTTGCCGGAATGGAGGATCTCGGGCTCTGGGAGTCTGTCGATGTCTGAGTGCGGATCAATAATGAATCGGCTCAGTTGGGACGCAATTGTGCTGGGCTCCGGGGCAAATCCCTTCCCATCGGGCCACCAGAAAAAGACATTCTGGCGACTCAGACCAAGGTCAAGCACAACGTGACCGTTCTCATCTTCGTAGGCATTGAGTGTGTGCCCTGGAAAAGAATTATCCCATTGGAGCCACTGTGAGCCTTATCAGCGAAGAACTCTTTTTATAATCGGAGAGTACCAGTACCCTGACATCGCCTGGCTTTGGGTTCCGACGAGGAATAATTCCAATATAGAGAGGAGTCTCCGGGCTCCACTGCCAGTGCTCCCCTCCCGCCCTCATGCGCTCAATATCACAGAGTTGAGGGATAAGTGGGAACAGCACCTACATTACCAAAGTCAGTTTTGTCAAAGCCAAGAGTTCTTTGCATTCCACGCACCCAGTTCTCAGTGACCGCAAAATCATGAATCATCGCGCACACAGGCGCCACCAGCCAGCAGATATCAGAAAATTTCCCATCTGGTCCAACTTGATAGTAGCAGATATCGGGAGTGCCGTCACCCTTGGCCTCGTATCCAAAACACACCATTTCGCCTGTCTTGGGATCAAACTTCGGATGGGCTGTGAACGTGATACTTGGTAATTGTCCTTCAAAATCATACAGACCCTTGGTGTCCAAGGTATGTGGGTCCATTGCATATGGCGGGGAGTCTTCCTTCAAGGCAAGCAATTGTCCATTGAAGAAGACAACATTGGTATTGGCTGTGCTGCGGATCTTCAAGCGAACGGCATCGGTGAACCTGTTCCGGTACTTCCCTGTTTAGTGTGTCAGCCAAATGTGTCAAAATATTGTCATTGGACACCCCAATGCCCTTTAAAATTGTGCAAATACCGACGAGGACCCTCTTTGCTTCTCTTTCCCGGACGAACTTTTCAGTCCGCACAAACCGCTGCTGCCAGGAAACTCTGCCATCCTTGATCCGGAAGGCACTGACATTGCCGTCGCCGTTGAACCACTACTGATGGTGAGAATGGGACACATCTTCACAAAGTACGTATCACAAACTGGATCGTCTTCAACGAACGGGAAGGCCTGGGGATCAGGCATCACCCGAAAGAAAGTTCCATCGATGTCCTGCGGTAGGTCGCCATAGACTTCGAGATTCTGAGCCTCCCCTTCAAACCGACAGGGCTTCATGAAGCCTGAGAATTGAGGTTTCTCCGGGAAATGCTGGATCTTATTCGACAACATCGCAAGGACACTTGATATTCGGCAAGAAGAATAAAGAGGACGAGAAATAGAAAGAGAAAGCCAACTTGATGCTCTGGTAAAGAGAGGCGGAGCGGTTAAAGTGTATTATTTATATTCACGGCAAGCTTTCCTAAATGCCGACACAGATGAACCATGAAGGATACAAGTATATCGGTACCAATCACAATCTGCGAGGTGGCCATTTCTCCGGCATTTGAGACGGGAACTGAGCGAAGAGCAAGACGTCCTAACTTAGGGCAAAGCGACGGTGACTAAGCGGCTCCGGGGGTACATCGGACTTCCGTTCCTGTCACTCACTGTCAGTGCTCCAGGTGGGCCGTAACCAACCTCCATTTAGCTTCCACAAGTCTAGGATGTCATTGTTTCGCAGGGCATACTGGATTGCGTGTCCGAAAGACCTCGCGAATGAGGACTACTTGGTTCAAGTGGACACTCAAAGGTAACTACAATCTAGCTCTCTGGAGTATCCGAGCTATATTCAATCTATAAACACCCAACAATGACCATGGTAGAACTATATTGATTGATTGTCGACGCCGCTGGTCCCGCATACAATTGACAGACCGCAAAGCAGGTGTTCTTAGCCCAGCCTATATACTCACAGAAACGCCTCATCTATCACCTTTTCGGCATCATACCCGTAGGCCCACATCTGCGTCGCCGGATCACTCCACTGATTTGGACTGTGGGAAAAGGGTCGTCCCTGTGTCTCTGGCTTCATCGCCTCATCGCGAGCTTGCTGGAGGGGCCCATCCGGAAAGTGCCATAGCTGGCCATTAAGCAGACTGGCATCTTGCATCAGGCGTGTCCTTTTAGCACGAACTTTCTCAAACACCGCAAGAGCATCATCAAGGGTGGTGCCGGACGAAATCCTCGACAAGGCTCTCGCGAGAGCTACACCATCCTCCACCGCCATGGCAGCACCTGGTGAGCTGTTAGATCACAAACAAGTTGAACCAGAACTCGTGCCTCGCACGTACCCTGCGACATATATGGAAGCATTGCATGGGCGGCATCTCCTAGGAGGACGACCTTGCCTAAGGTCCAACGCGAGAGAGGAGTGCTACTTACTAGCGGCCACTTGGCCGTCTTTGTAATGAGTCCGATAATCTTCGTTAAGCTGAACGGGCTTAGTCAATCAATTTTCGGGAGTTCAATTAGGTATGTGGCACTATACCGCGGATCCCACCCTGTAAACTCACGTCGCATATCCCGCAATGCAGTACTCTGGTCCCAGGTTGTTGGGTCGCTTGGGTCCCAATGAGAGAGGACCATGTTGAATGACTTGCCTGCCCCAATTGTGTATGTCATGACATGTCGCTTATCACCAATCCTACAAGTTGACACTATATCAGCAAGGTTTACTGAAGACTATAATATTTGACTAACCATATGTTTAGAGCTGTCTTCTCAAGCAGCCACGCTGTATCGGGATCTTGTTTGAGAAGACTGACGTCCACTGTCGCGCGGTAAGCAGCAAACCCCAAATTTGTAGGCGGCATGTCTAAGTTATCGTCCAGTAACGGTCTAGCAATAGACTTGATCCCTGTATTTCCATACCGTTAAGAATCTTTACCATCAGAAGGGTTGTATGGAGACTGACCATCGGCCGCCACAACAAGGTCCGCTGTGACGAGGATCCCCCGTTCAAGGCGGATATCCGGCTTCAACGGGTCATACTCAACCACCTTTTCGCCGAGTTTGAGTACGACACCCAGCTCGACAGCGCGCTGGACTAGCGCAGAATGAAAATCGGCACGGTGAACAACGTAGTACGGCGCATTGAAGGTTTCTTGGAAATCAGGCTTCAGTTTAGTGAAGCCAATGACCTCGCCGCTCTCCCAGCGGCGGAACGATATGCTCTCTGGCTCAGATGCGCATTTCGTCAGGTACGGTCCCACTCCAAGCTTCAGAAGCAGACGGGCCGAGTTAGAAGGGATCTGGATTCCTGCACCGACCTACACAGAATATCAGCCGGGTGTACTGAGCTCTGGGATAGTGACCGGTAGGAGTACCTCTCTAAGCTCCGGTGCTTGCTCGTAGATCGTCACTTTATGTCCATATGTTGTGAGGGCTATGGCCGTTGCTAAGCCTCCGAGACCCGCGCCCACGACGATAATGTTCAAGCAAGTTGTACTTTGAGCAGTGGTATTCTCCAACCTCAATGGTTTGAGAAAGTGTAGGCAGTTGCTTGGATATGATGTGCTCTACTAGTAATCAGAACATGTTTGTCTCTTCCAAGGCCAGCGAAAGCAAACTGACCATAGGAGCGGACGGCTGTGTCGTCGAGCTAGGCATAGTTAAGGATTGGCTATACTGGCCTTATCTGTTCCTATTGGTGACTGTGAGTACGACGATTATTCCTTTCCCACAATCATAGAGAGCACTCCTTTAACATATATCCGGTACATGCCATGTGGTAGGGGCACATGCCGAGGTTTCCGATGTCTCCCCGACGCTCTTATGAGCCATATTCCAATAGCAAGCGGGTTGATATATAGGCACAGAAGTCTGAAGGGCTTCAGATCACCAAGGAACTACGGTCAACACCTTTTCAATTCAGAATATTATTAGCTACCTCAATATGGCGCAGGAATGCGAGCAAGGAAAGAATTGTGACTCTGCAGAGAGCCTGCTCAGGGACCTCGAAGGAAGCAAAACACTACCCCTGTGGACCCAAATGACCCGCCTGAACCCTCCAAGTCCAAACCCAGTGGCTGTTCCATTCCTATGGAAATATCAGGCCATCAGACCAAACCTCCTGCGCGCAGGGAACCTGATCACGGAAAAGCAGGCGGAACGACGGGTGCTCATGCTGGTCAACCCAACCAGAGGTAATTATGCTTCATTCAAAATCTACACAAGCTCTACATGCTTAGTATCGCATCAGATGCCCCTTATACGACAGACACACTGTATGCGGGACTGCAACTGGTGATGCCGAACGAGATAGCTCCAGCGCACCGACACACGGCGTTTGCAATGCGTTTTATCATTGAAGGCATGGGCGGGTTTACTGCAGTGCACGGCCGGCGTATTCAGATGCAACGGGGCGATGTGATCCTGACTCCCACCTGGAACTACCATGACCATGGCAAGGACGGCTCTGGCCCAATGATTTGGTTGGATGGACTAGATCTTCCGAATTTCCGCCACTTCCCGGTCCACTTTGTCGAGCATTTCAGTGAGTCACGCTACCCTGCGGAGGATGTAGATAGCAACATGTCCCCGATAGTCTTCCCCTGGGAGGTGATGAAGGCAGCATTGGACGCTGCCTCGGGCGATTGGGTTTCAAAACGGTACCTACGGTCAGGTGATCGAGAAGGTGAGTGTACTTGATAGATACTGCTGCAGATATCTTCTAACACGCGCCTGTCTTCTATAGTAAGCCGAGTACTGGGCGGCTGTGCGGAGAGGCTGAATGCAGGCTGTACTTCACCTCTGCGGCGCGAGACGATATCCGCGGTTTACCACGTTGTTACTGGTAGTGGCTACTCTATCATCGGGGAAGAGAAGTTTGAATGGCAGAAGGGGGACACTTTCTGTGTGCCCTCGTGGTACAGATACCAGCATTTTGCTGGGACAGTTGAGACTACCTACCTGTACCGGTTTGACGATAAGCCCATGATTGAAGCGCTGGGATTCTATCGCTCGGAGGACATGGATGTGGAAGGCCTTGTAACTGAATGAATGCTGCTTATAATTTACCGAGTTTTCAATTCTATATTTTCAAGACCTGAGCGCTTTCTTAGGCAATATAAAGCTGGCAAAACCAATATACGATTAATAATTGACCAATTATATTCTCTAGCTTATGTTGAAAAGGTCTGGATTATCGACTAGTTCGATTCCGAGATTTTACCGTCTTTCGATCTTAACTCGGCCATTTTTACCGCCTTAAAAGATCACCGTTTAGGAACCCTGATACTAGATCTTTAGAGGCCAGTGACACAGAATCGCTAGAAAATAAGTGGTAGCCGTGACTTTACGTAAATCACTGGGATTGAAGTATTATTTGTGAGCTCGAATCCTCGATTTAGCGCGCTATACGGAGTAGCCTCCCAGTAAAGGCGGTGTCCTTCCGGTCTCTCCCCGATGGACTCCGATCTTTCCCCGGCGCTCCAACTCACCCCGGCACCTCAAGAGAGGGACTTGTCACTTTCCCGATAACCTGAGTCTTGCGGCATGGAGCCACCTAATCGCGAGGACATACCGCCCCCGGCTGCGGCGGTCAAGCGCCGCAGGGTCGCTCTAGCTTGCGATCCATGTAGAATCCGAAAATCCCGAGTAGGTTGTGGTCGCCGGACGTGGAGGAGAGCAACGGATGATTGACTATTCGCTTTCCAGTGTGATAGTTCTCGACCCAAGTGCTCTTCGTGCTCCCATCTGGGGTTCGACTGCGTGTACACAACCCCGGCCTCCGCTTCTAATATCATTGTGCAAAAGGAGTTGCGTTGTCCCCTTAGCTTCAAGTTATGCGGCTCGAGTTTCTGACCGCACATTAGCTATTTACATGTCATTGAGTCCCGCCTTAATCAACTAGAGGAGTCGCTATCTACGGTCAAGGATGGGCTTAGCGGGTTGTCTTCTCGTGTGGATCAGTGCTGCAATCCGACACGAGACCCAGACAAACCTGTCAACAATGTACAGCAAGACCTTCCTCTACCAGACCTCGCCGGTACGGAAGACTCGGTGGATGCGATGGGTGCCATAACCCTGGCCGAGGAAGAAGATTCAGGATATTTTGGTAAAGACCGAGCACTTCTAACCACTTCTTTGTCGGCTCACAGTACCAGGGCCCTCATCCAATGTTGCATTTACACGCCATCTGTGTAGATCCATTGGACAACCTGGGGCATCCCAGGGAAGCTCTACAGGGCTGCCATTAGACACAACAGCCTACGATGGCGGCTTTGTGAGTGTTTCTCGCCCCCCATCGCCGCCAGGGCAGCCTGATGGTGTGGGATTCGACAGAAGCTTGAAGAATGTCTTCACACTACCGGCCACCTCCGAGACAAAGAAACTAATCGCTCAGTATTTCACTGACACGGGGCTTCTTTTCCCATACATACACCCTGAAACCTTCCTCGAGACATACGACGCCATGCTACACGACAACACAAAAGTGCGCAGGACATGGCTCGGCCTTTTAAACATGGTCCTAGCTATGGCTGTGATTACGACTACCCCGGGCGGTGCACCCGCAAATGTGAGAATAGCCAAGTCTGATATCTTCTACCAGCGGAGCCTGAGTCTATGCGGCAAAGAGATATTACGTGGGACAACTCTAGAAGTTGGTACGTACGTAGTCTATTGAAAGATAGGACTCAGTCGACTAAGATATCGGGGTAATTTAGTTCAGTATCTTCTTCTAATGGGTCAATACCTGCAAGGAACTCAAAAGTCGGTCCAGGCATGGACGGTGCATGGTCTCGCGGTAAAAGCGGCCCTTCAGCTGGGGCTGCACTCCAAAGACGCTTCCCGTGCTTTCCCCCGTCTAGAACAGGAGACGAGGCTGCGTACTTGGTTTGGCTGCGTCGTGCTTGACAGGTATACTAATACATTCCTTACTACAACTGTCATCTAACCACCGATTTCTATAGGACATTGAGCATGACTTTTGGCCGCCCAGCTGCTATTCCCAACAGCTATGTTCAGCTTGAACTGCCAGGCAGCGATGTCATGTTTGATTCATCCACGGTTGTGGACGCAAAGACATCCTCCCTGAGCTTAGTGCTATATAACTCAACTATGTAGGCCACCATCGCAGCCCCCCCCCCCCTCTCTCCCGTGCACCGCTCTAATACAAAGCAAGAACCCTGTATAATCAGATCTGTAAGGCCATCGATTTGCTGTATGGCCAAAACCTCGGATGTGATCCCCCATTGCCAATTGGCGAGGCTGTTGCACATGTCTTCTCCCTAGAGCAGGAGCTGTTCTCGTGGGAAAGGCAGCTTCCCGACCCCATGCGGTTGATCAATAGTGACGGAGTAGAAGAAGCGCACCAGGTAGCTGCCTCAGACTATGACTTTGCTGCTCTGAGATTTCGTATTATCCTAACACTACGATACGCAAACTACCGCCTGCTTCTACACCGACCGATTCTCGTACGCTTTCTCGACGCCTGCGGCGGATCGCAGCCCGACCCTCATCAATTACAGCTTCTTCACCAGCTAGGTCTGAGCAGTATGCAGATTTGCGCTGATTCGACCATGCAGATCATTGATCTTGTATACGACATTGTTCATCGCTCGGACAAGCGGCCCAATCTCCTAGGGGCGTGGTGGTTCTCACTCTATTATAGTATGCCGGTACTTTTCAGTTGCATCCCTGGTGGACATACATATCCCTTTATCCTCAAGCTACTAACTGGCGATTACCCAGCCTTCAACGCTGCACTAGTTATCCTCGGCATTCTAATAGTCTGTCGCGAAGGGAGCACGTCAGGCCAGCTGGCGAGTGGAGTCGTAGATAAAATTAGGAAGTACCCTTTCCATGCAGTCGCAGCCTTACTTAAACTGGATACTGGCAACCGCATGGTAGACCGCTGTCGACTTTATCTGGAAAGACTCATAACTAGTTCGGGCCTCTACGGTGAGTTCGCTGTCTTGATTGCCGTATATTCCGAGATCAGTCTGACCGACAGGAATAGCCATCGATGAGCTCAGTTCGGGTGCCGTGGTTTTACCATCTATGAGCTTCGCTATCCCTTCGACCGCAGATGTGGATATCTCTCCCCTAGGGATGGAATTTGGAGAATTCATGGTGGATGGCGATATTTTCACATCCTTTACCACGGGCTGAAAGCTAAGAAAAAGCGATAGTAGGCTAATACAAGTGGCACTCTTCGGTTCTTAAATCAATAACGTAAACTCGTATAAAAAAGATGAGAGATTCCACCATCCGGAACGCTGCCCGGCTCATCCGTTCTCTCCCCGAAGCTTACTGAATATCAAATCCCATTCCTCCCCCAGGGTTCCGTTCAAGCAGAAGCTGTAGAACTCTTGATCTACGACCTTTCCCTAAACCAGAAGCCATCATGCCTAGCCTTGCATGGAGACGCCTCATCCGCTTCAAAGCCACCGACGGACGGATCCTTCGCGGTGAGCCTCTTATCGACCGCGACGTCGACTTGGGCTTCATTACCGAAGCCGACCAAGTTCAAGTCCGCATTCTATCCGGAGACGATATCTACGACACAACAGGCAAGACCCAACTGACTGATGAGGTGGCCGTTGTGCAGACACTGCTGGGCCCACTGGCAACGGGAGAGATCCCGATCTTGCGCTGTGTGGGGCTGAACTATGCAAAGCACAGTATGTTCCATGCACATCTCCCCCGTCTCACCCCCCCTATATCTTTTGCCCTTAATATATACAAGATCAAAGTCTTCCAGCGCTAACTGAAAGAAGTCCGCGAAGCTGGCCGGACCCCACCGCCATTCCCCTTCATCTTCTTCAAGCCCAACACAACCGTCCACGACCACGGGGCACCCGTAACGATTCCCAAGATAGCACAGGACGAGCAGGCAGATTACGAAGGCGAGCTGGTATGCCAAGTTTACATCTCTTTCTTCGTTTCTTGCGATATTAGCCTAATTTTGCTCACGAATGTATGTATGACCAGTGCATGGTAATCGGCCAAGACGCAAAAGACATCCCCATCGACAAAGCCCTCGACTACGTCGCAGCGTACACAGTGGGCAACGACATCTCGTCGAGAAAACTCCAGCGAGACCCTGCACTCGCCGGCCGCGTCCCGCAGTGGGGGTTCTCGAAGGGCTTCGACACCTACGCGCCCCTGGGTCCGTGTCTCGTCGCTCGTTCGGAGATCCCCGATCCAGGCACATTGCAGCTACGCACTACCATCGATGGAGAGGTAAGACAGGATGAAGGCGTGGCGGATTTACTGTTCGACTGTGCGTACCTGGTTTCCTACCTCTCGCAGGGCACTACGCTGCAGAAGGGGAGCGTCATTATGACTGGCACGCCTGGAGGTGAGTTTGTCGGTCTTTCTTTCCTTTCCTTTTTTTTTTTTTTTTTTTTTTTTTTTTTTTTTTTTTTTTTTTTTTTTTTTTTTTTTTTTTTTTTCTTCCACATTCTGCCAGGTGCCGACTCAAGAGCCTCTGGTTTTGCAGTTGAGGGCTAATGCATTATTCATCCAGGTGTTGGTGCTGGACTGCAACCGCCACGGTATTTGGTCCCTGGGACCCAGATGGAGGTTTGGGTTTCTGGGATTGGGACGCTGAGGAATAGTGTTGAATTCGCATGAGCTTCTTTACTTGTGGGAAACGTAGATAGGTACATTATTGATTGCTATAGAATGGTCATAAAACATATCCCAAGTTCGTCGAATTGCCGGATCGTGTTATTGTCTTTGCTGTAGTCGGTTAGACGTTGACGGGCCTCAACTATTTGCAGGATGGGAAAGCATTGACTGGCACCAAACTTTTAAAATATACTTTTATCAGATGGCTTCGTGGAACCCTTCTTACCGCCACGTGGTTATGATATCCGGCACTTTCTGTACTAAAATAGAGGGAGCGGCCAGCGCTCAATGTCGACGTTGACCGAGAAGTGAGAAAGGTACTATGGATTCATATGTATTTTGATAGCTGCTGAGTATAACTTGTGCTATTGAGTATACAAATGCCTCTCCCGCATATTCACCGTGCGGAACCTGGTTCGTTTCCAAAATCTCCTGCACACTATGCTCTAGGCACTCTTCTTCTGAGTGCAATCTCACACTCCCTAGTCTTCACGAAGAACCCTTCTCGGAGCATAGTTTCGCCAACAGATACACGTTCCAAATGGTAAAGTTTAAACATCGTTGCCAGCGTCTTAAGGATCTCCATCCATGCAAAGCTACCAGAGCGTTAATCTAACTCCAACCAGTACATACTAGAAACACTCACTTTCGACCGATACATGCACGAGGCCCAATCGAAAACGGGACGAAAGACTCCAACAGCTTCGAGGCGCCGTCGTCAAGCCAGCGCTCGAAGCGGAATTGCTCCGGATCCTTGGCAGCGAAAGTAAGCATACCGATCAGCACACGCCAATGTCACCGAGGTCATGGATATACCTTAAAGGCCGTGGGGTTGTGGTGGATGTTAAAAGTTGGTACGCTCACCAAGGTCTATGGGGTTGTTAGTTCCCGTGCGTGTTATGCTGTAGAGGGGCGTTGTTCGAACGTACGCCCTCAGGCAAAAGCCTCCCTGCCACCACCTTCCCACCCTTAGGCGTAACCCGCTCAAGGCCAGTGGCACTCGTCGGCCGAAACCGCATAGTCTCCCGGACGATGGCAATCAGAACGGGAAGGCTCTCGACGGTCCGGAAGTCCGCCACCCAGTCCTCCGACATCTCGCCGGGGAAAGCGTCATCCAGCTCGTCTTGGAGACGCCGCTGTATCTGCTCAGAGCGGGACACGATATCGACGACATTGACCATGCTTGTACTGGTCGTGTCGCTGCCTCCGACGATGAATGAAATCGACTCGGCGATGATCTCTTTCTCACCGAGGGCCTCGCCTGTTTCGGGATCTTTGGCCGTGAAGAGAAAGCTGAGCAGGTCTTTTCGGGACTTGACTTGGTCACGTCGGTTGAAGTAGGCCTTTGTTCCAATTGCGGCGAGAGCTTGTGTGCCACGAAGTCCCTGCGACCAGAAGGGATCCAGTGGTAGTCGTTTGACCAAGGGTATCAGGGGTGGGGGAATGTGGCCGAGGGCATTGAGGACTTCACCGCGTGCATTAACTGCTTCTATGAGGTTCAAGTAGTCCTCCTCACGATCGAGGAAACCGAACGATTCACCAAACGCGAAATTACCTGGGCCGATGAGCGAGGCGTTGACTGAAGGGAAGGGAACAGAGAGCATACCAATGACGTCGAAAGCAAGAAAGTTTGCTGTGTAAAGGGTTAGCCCTGTTTCCCTAGATACACGCCAGACAAAGGTACGACAACTAACCATATACGTTAAAATCTAGTGTGATCCTCTCCGATGTCTGCAGTTGCTCATGGATAGACTTTATGAGTTTCTGCATATTCTTCGTCATATATGGCTCAAATTCCTGCAAGCTTTTTGCCGAAAACGCAGGGCTGACCATCTTCTTCTTGCGCTGATGGACTTGGGGGCTTCTAGTATTGAACAGAACTGGCTCGACCTGATGAAAGGGTAGAATACTCTCAACGTCAGCTTGGTATGGCAGTTGGGGGACGACGGGGCAAAACATATCTTGATAAAAGGGTCCCTTCAAGAACCCTGACTGGTGGCCGTAGAGTTGTTGCACGGCCGCTGGGTTCGCAATTGAGATATGGTTTGGTGCAATACGAACAAAGTCTCCGTATTGCTCATGTAAGTCGGAGACAGCCTGCGACCTCCGTCCCCGTCTGCATTGCAGGACTATCCATAGAGGAGAAACCCTAGCTAGCAGAGGACCGGGAAAGTCCCGTAAAGGTGAGAGTAAGAGACAGTATACAGTCCATGTTGCAACCTTCGGAGCTTGGGTGGTTAGAGAGTGCCTTCGAAGTCTCTGAGTAAGCCTGACGTACCGCACAAGATAGAATGATAGACACCGCAAGGGCCGGGCTTGTTGTCGAGGGCGAGATGTAATTCTCCATTGCTGATTGATTAATCATCCAATGTGGAGACCCATTATCTCTCGCACTGAATGCTCTGAAAATTATACCACAACTGTATCGATGGACCGGGGAGAGACCGGAAAGCTTTGTGGTGGCGACAAGCAACTGGATACTAGGCCCTGGCTGTTCGGCCCGGGGCATCCCCGGGCTAATCGACTCGACAGGAGTAAAGAAGATCCTTAGATACGTTGGACTTTGATTACCACACAGCCTTGACATCTGCCTTGTACATAGTGCCTCCACCTAGTATAAGTACAAAGAAATATTTAAATATCCATAAATTTAATTCAAAAGCTTAATGTATGTCAATTCCATGGGACTGTTGCTTGCATTCACGACCAAGAAAACGGAGGAAGTGTCTCATCGAGAGCAAAAGTCATGTTTTCAGCGTTCAGATATTCCGGCCATTCGACAACATCCTCCACCCTTTCAGTCAGATCTGTATTGGGAGTAATATCTGTGAATAGATCCTCTATGTCGTGGATCATCTTCTCATGATCCTTGGACGCTGCATTGCCCAGTCGAGCCATTTCCCCAAGTAAGCTCCTGACTGGACTGTACAAAGCACTGGTCCGGGCACCAGCAAAAGCATTGGGCCGCTTCTCCATCAAGCAGCCGGAGATCACATGTACGGTGAGGCTGGAAAATATGTGTAGGGACTCCCAGAATCCGAATTTCGCTGTGAAGATATTAGCACACCGAAATAAGTTCCAAAGTGAATATCTGAGACAACTGACGATGAGACGAAGAAACATACCAATTTTATGACATTTTAACAGGGCAAATAGAATTGCTGTGCTATGCGTTGCAGCTTGCAAGCACTGTGTATTGAGGCTGACGACATCATCGCAAGTCATGAAATCTTCTTGTCCATGGACGAGAGTATGGAGTTGTTTCAACAAAAACGGGCGAAGGAGAAGGATGAAACACTAATCCATCAGTATCCCATTGTCGATCTGGAATCGCTCTTCTTACCTGATTATAGCGAAGTAGCAGGGATGCGACGGTCCGCATCGGCGGGAAAGCCAAGGTTTTATCCAAGAAGCCTCCCTCTTCAGTAAACTCCAAACGTGGCGAGAACTCCAGGCTCCAACGATTCAAAGCTTGTAGGCATGGCCCAATAAGTGCTTGTGCTTCGACGGCATTTCCGAAACGGAGTTCAGAAACCGTCCTGATAATTTGGTATTTGATACGACAAAGCTTAACTTGTGCGGTAAGATACTGAGGATCTGAGAATTCCTCGGCGTCCTCCATGGATAACTGAGAACTATCCGGAAATCCGATGCTGTCCTCCTTAAATACACAGGCGGGCTCCAAGGATAGCTCTATGCAAGTTGTTACATCCATGCAAATCGTCGTCCACCATACTCGTTTGCGATGTTCTCGCTCCAATGGACTCATTGCTGGCTGCGGCTTTGAAAGCCCGAGGAGCTTGGCCAACCGGAGAGCCGTCCCAGCGTATGTATAAGCTGTTTTTCGTCGATTGAGAGAGTAGCAGTAAAATGTCTATCTGAAATCAGATTCAATGCGACTATACCCACTTTTCAGCATCATACTTACAATGAGGTTGAGGGCCTCAACCTGCTCTACTGTGGGTTCCTCGTAAGATGGTGGCAGAAGGAGCAATGCTTGCTTAAAGAGTTCAATCCCCGGCGGATTTACTCGTTCAGAGTCTATTGTATCAGCACTATTGGCGGAGAGCCCGGCTCTGCTGTCAACCAGGAATGCTGGAGAAACGATGTCGTTGTATGACTCTCCCAAGGCCAGGACTACAGAAACACAGCAAAGCCATGTTTTTTCTATTTGATATGACCGTGACGGATCGTACAGATTGTCTATTCGAGTGCGAAAGCGCTTCTTTTGATACCAGTGATAATCACATCCCATAAATGACTCGAACTGGCCCAGAAGATAGAGAGCGTAAGAGTAGGGTGGAAACTTGACGAGCACCTTAGATTCTGTGGATGTTAGGAAGGTCGAAGGTGACAGTCGCGACTCTACATACGGTTATTGTCATATTCCAGAGGAATGTATGTGTAGTTCGATGCCGTGGATTGGGCGTTGAGCTCGCTTACGCCAGGGGTCGATGTCGTGGGAAAAGGGGGTACCCCGGCTATCTCTTGGATAGGGTTGGAGTACACACCTTTGAGCTTGCGTACAAAATGTTCGGTTGTGGAGTTTTCAACTAATCGCTCCGGCAGTATCTGTTCTTGCGACCCATCGCTGAATGGGGTTGTGGGCTGGTAGCTGGTGTGAGTCACGGCCAGAGCGCCATCACGACTAGGTTGCCGTAGCCGTATGATTTCGCTCTCTAGCCGGCGTAAATAGGCCTCAGAGACAGTTGTGACTCGCTCCTGGGACGGGAAAACGCATGACTTCCGGCTCGAAACGCACTTTACACATGGCTGTTCTGATCCTCAATCGGTCAGAGTGATGATTACGAATCGCAGAAACCATGCTTACCGCCACTACATTTCACTTTCTGGCTGCGACAGTAAAAGCAGGCACGGGCAGACCTTCCTTTGAATCGAGGCATATCTCAAGTTTTGCGCCAAAAGGGGTTGGAAAAAGAACAGAGAAGTCTTCCCCGACTCCCGCAATAAGGTTGAGGTGGCAATTAAGTTCAATTTACTTTCTAACCGAAGCTGGATAAAAGAATCTTAGCTTAGAATATTCACTCCCCTACAATAGAACCTGAGAATTATGACATATTGTGAATCACACAGCGCTTGTTCTAGACGGGCTCGAGACTTAGTGATTATTATCAGTCGAACTTTTCTTGTCTCTTCATACCCTTTGTCGCTTCGCTAAACGTCGCATGAGCATGTTAAGCACCCCGCAGTTTTCGGAGACTACGGCTAATTACTCCCTTAGTATCACCAAATGTTTAATATCGCTGTGTCTCCTGGGACGGCGCACAGTCTGTCCAACATCGGCCACTACGGCGATAGGGGCAAAATGTCAACCCTATCCCCCTTCTGAGAGTGTATCATTTTGTTTATCGCCTCCGATATGAACAGACGCAGCCGTAGCGGCCGAACGCGGGAATTAACAATCGGTCTGAACCTTAACCAATGATGCGGGGAAACCCTATCTAAGATGCCTATAGCTTTGGCCAAGGGCAAATACTGAAGCCGAGCCAAAGGGTGCTTCCTAGATATTGGACACCAGAGGGGCAGATGACGCCTTTCTTTGAGATAGTAGAAAAGGTATTTTAATGTGCAGCATGCTTCTCGCCATTCGGAGCGTTAATCAATCTTGTTTTGAGTACTTTTCAAAATGGCCGATGTTAAGAAGGAGAACCCCGAAGTCCCCGAGATGACCCCAGAGGACAAACTTGAACAGGGCTCAACACTTTCAATTCGGTTGCCTCCTACGCTTCAGGGCACAACAGATGATGAGAGAATAGCGGTGGAAAAGGCCTTGGTCAGAAAGCTTGACATCCGGCTCATGCCAATGCTGGTCTTGATATATATCATGAACTATTTAGACAGGTGCTTTTCATATAGCCTTCATTGATGGGGTGCTAGTGCACTAATAGTACTGCCAGAAATGCGATCGCAGCAGCCAAGTTAAGTGGCATCACAAAGGAGCTCAACCTGACATCCGTTCAATTTCAGGTATTTAAATCGTTCATAAGGTTAATATGGGTTTCATGACTAAATTGCTTAAGACTTGCGTTAGCATTCTCTTTGTCGGGTATGTTCGAAATGTTTGGAGAAGCAAACCCCCGTACTGATGACCGCAGTTATATTCTCATGCAAGTACCATCAAACCTATTCTTGAACAAAATCGGAAAGCCTGCACTTTATCTTCCAACGTGTATGGTAGTATGGGTGAGTTTAAGACACAAAGATTCATTTAAATCCACATGTCTCATGATCATTCAATTAAGGGAATTTTATGCGGGGTCACTGGTGCAGTTCACAATTATGGTGGCCTTCTGGCATGCCGGTAAAGCACCGCTCGGACAATTGTTATCCATGGTGGGCTAACATAGCCCTTCAGATTTATCCTTGGTTTCGTTGAAGCGGCATACTTTGTCAGTCCTATGCTCTCAGACTGTGCTTATGCGGATGTCAGCTAACATCGTGCTAGCCAGGGTGCATGGCAACATTGAGTGCTTGGTATACTCGGGAAGAACTTTCCTTGCGTACTGCCATTCTCTACTGTGGGTCTCTTCTCTCCGGTGCATTCTCCGGTCTTATTGCTGCCGGTATTAATGACGGCATGGATGGGTGAGTTGAAGTCCCCACATTCAACGCCACTGCTGCAGACTAACAATAAACTAGAGTGAAAGGGCTCCTCGCATGGAGATGGATATTCATCATCGAGGTACGTGTTTCTGCGAGAGTCCTTCTACCGTTTCCGGCCAGCATCTGATCCTCCACCGTTATAGGGATCAATCACAGTGGTCATTGCTCTGGCCGCTTACTTTGTTTTACCAAACTTCCCCCATAATACAAAAGGCCTGTCCCAGCAAGAGAAGGAGCTCGCAATTTGGCGGCTAGCAAGAGATATTGGACAGGAAGATTGGGATTGCGAGGAGGATCTAAGCTTGCTCAAGGGTTTTAAAAACTGTATGGTTGATTGGAAGACCTGGCTTCTCGTGATTCTCAACTTCGGCGCTGTTTCTAGCGGCACAATCAACAGCTTCTTTCCCACGGTAGTCGAGAGCTTGGGTAAAGGTCGGATCCATACACTCCTACTAACAGTACCGCCATATATACTGTCTTGCATTGTCGCTATGGCTGTTTCCCGAAATGCGGACCGAACAGGAGAGCGATATCTCCATTTCTCCGTACCACTGTGGATTTCTATTTCTGGATTCATCATCTCAGCAGCTACGACCAACCTCGGTGCCAGATACTTTGCGATGATGATCATGCTGCCAGGTGTTTATACGGCGTTTATCATTGGTATCTCCTGGGTCGCAAATACGATTCCAAAACCATCATCAAAAAGGGCTGCTGCACTCGCATTTGCAAATGCGGTTGCAAATTGTTCATCTATATATACCCCCTATCTCTATCCGGACAGTGATGCCCCTCGTTTTATTCTTGCTATGAGCGTGAACGCAGGCACTTCATTTCTTTCGATAGTCACCGCCACTATTTTCCGACTCCTTCTACAGAGAATCAATAAACAACTGGACAGAAGAGATGCCGAAGAGGGGACCGTTGGAGGCTTCCGCTACCTCGTATAATGTTGCTAGCAAGAGGGTGTGAAATATTTTCTAGGATACATGGTTATTCCAGTACATAGCTATACATCTTAGAATGTACTATCAACTAGTAACACAATATTGCTCAATCGATTGAAAGCATTTCTATCTAAGAGGAACCTAAAAGTAGATAGTATATGGAAACATGAGAAAGTGATTCATTTAGTCAGCCCACTTTCTACCACTGATCTTTATGTTTTTAACCATGGTTATGACTCAGGAATCCGTTTCACTATAACTCTACGACGAAAGTAGAGCACCACATGGTGTACACCGAGCCATAGTGATCATGGAGACTCATTCCATAATCTAGGCTCCGGATGCATAATTTCATTTTGTTCAAAATCCATATGATCTGGCGAATATAGATGTCATCCATTTTATACCAAACCTAGATTGCGACGAGACCTTGATACAACAACCACTTTGAAGCTCACACTGATTTGAATTCATTTGCAATGTAAAACACATTCTCATTAGTCCATATAGTCTAGTCTGATCTAGATCCGTCTTCATCCAAGATTATCTGTCTCCGTGTCCTCGCAATTAACCAGTGGAAGCCTTCGCACGTCCACTCCATCTTGAAACCAGCGTCCCACTAGATATTTCAGAGTCGGTAACACTGCTGATATCATTTCTTCCTCTGCGTTGAAACGTTATACTGATGGACTGAGAGTTCAATAGCCGACATGATCTCATCTTCTGTGAGTAACCCTTTCTCGACCACGACATCCAGGAAAGGTCTTCTTTCTAGGAGAGCCGCGCAGACGATGGTCGAAGTCTGCGCATAGCCGAGAGTCGGCACCAGAGCAGTAGCCAACGCGCTAGACGCACGCAAATGCTTACGCGAGACGTCTTCATTTGCAGTTAAGCCTTCGATGCACCTACGACTGAAGATTCCGGCAGCGCCAGCGAGCAAACGGATGCTGTCCAGGAGACGGTCACACACAAGCAACTCAAAGTGATTGATTTCGAGCATGCCTTGCTGGCATGCCATTGCAACCGCGGTATCGTTACCGGCGATGGCAAACGCAGCTTGGCAGACCGCGATGGGGATGACTGGGTTGACTTTTCCGGGCATGATTGAGGAGCCGGCCTGGACGGAAGGTAGAGTGACCTCGTTAATGCCACCGCTAGGACCAGAGGATAGGATGATAAGGTCGTTGGCGATTTTCCATAAAGTGTTGGCGGTGTTTCGCAACTCCCCGGAAAGACGGGCACAAGCGTCCATGTTTTGCATACCGTCAAATGCGTTGTTACTCGGCTGGATCTCTGTGTCGAATAAGAGGGACATGTGCCGGAATACAGCAGCTTTGTACCCAGTCGAGGACCCGAATCCTGTCCCTATGGCTGTTCCTCCTAGGGGAACTGTCAGGAATTGCCTGCGGATTGTGTCAAGTTGGTCTGTGTGTCGCCGGACAGCCGCCTCGTAGCCTCCAAATGCTTGGCCGAGAGTCATCGGCTGCGCATCTTGGAGACAGGTCCTCCCGAGACGAAGAAGCGAGCTATACTCCTCACGCTTCGTCGAGAATGCGTCAGCTAGCTGTCGGAGGGTGCGCAAAGCTTCTGCCATTGCATGATAGACGGCCAGCTTCATGGCAGTCGGGACCACATCGTTAGTGGACTGCCCCAAGTTGACATGATCATTCGGGTGGATAAAGCTGTAATCAGAGAGCGCTCGACCAGAGCGCTTTGCCGCAATATTCGCAATCACCTCGTTCATATTCATATTTGTTGAGGTGCCGCCCGAGCCCTCCAGCATATCGACAACAAGATGTGCATTGTGTTTGCCGAGTTTGATTTCCTCACAAGCCGCATAAATCGCATCTGCCTGCTCTGCTGTCAGGTCACCTATTTCGCCGTTTGCACGGGCTGCCGCTTGCTTTACTGTGGCAAACGCATAGATGAACTCCGGCCATGTTGTGATAGTTCGACCGGAGAGCGTGAAATTCTCAAGCGACCGATAGGTGTTGATGCCGTAGAGCACCTCAGTTGGCAGCTCGACTTGGCCGAGACTATCTTTCTCGACTCTTGCATTTGTGATGTGCATTGTCACAACTATACAACAAGAACCAACCACGATATAAATCTGATAATTTCCTTGCTACTTGTCGGGGGAAGTAGGTATACTGGCCTTTCTAGATCGACACGCCACAATGCAATAGAGCAGGAGTTCAGGATCCAGGGCCAGACGAAGATATTCAAGGAGGTTTCCAGAGGTCTCAAGCTCTTATCCGCTATGAGCTTTAAATAGGTATCAGCTCGCCGAGTAAGTGATGACAAACGAGTTAACCAGTGAAAAGGGAGTCTATAGTGTCACTGCGATGTTAAAAGATTGAATAAGGCGGATGTTTCAGAAGCAATCAAGGCGTAAATTGTACTAGATATACACGGAGAATCGGGCTGTCTCGGCTCAAGCCTCTATAAAGGTCCGTATGTAGGTGTGGGGGTTTGACAAGAAATACTATGGCCGAGTCCATCTTCAGGTATGTACCTTCCAATCCACAATGGGATCATAATTGCAAAGGACTTTTCATCTGTAGATGGAAACTCTCTAGGTGGATGCAGTCGACCATTCTGTTTGGTGTCGTACTTGATGAACATCGGCCGCTACGGCCTATGGGGACAATATCATTGGCTACAGCCCTCCGTAGCGGCCGAATGAACTGTGCCCTACAAAGGTTCGATGGAGCCTGTGAGTCACGTGTGTATCAGCTGCCCTAAGTGGAGTTTATACTAAGAGCTATATTCTAATGTGACCGCCATCAAGCCTATAGAACATCGCACTTACTTTACTTATATAGCAGACTTGATTCTATCATGGAAGCAGTATATGGAAGTTGTCACTATATTGAATCATAATTTGTGCGTTAGATTTAGCCCAAACTGATAGGAAGCAGGTGTAGTATCCAGAGGAAACATGGTCATTTCACACCAGCCTCCTCGAGAATTTAAATCCGCTAAGTAGAAATTCAGAGCCTGTAGTAGCTTCACCAAATGTCATTGCCCATATTAGTAGACTTCAGCACCACTGAGAGGTGCGAGTCCATCGCTGGAGGCCTGATCGATTCGACTCATGCAGCAGTTTCTGCTGGAATAGTCGACCAATAGGTTGACCAGGGCTTCAGACTCCACAGGACTGACACTCAGACACAGTTAAGTATTTACCACGGGGCGCGAAAAAAGCCAGGACGTGAACAGTTCAAGTGGAGCTTCTTCTTTTCTCTCGAAGCTATAAAGCTTCGACATCCGAACTATTAGCCGCGTCTGGTCCATGGAAGCACAGAGTATCCTTGCATGCTGCGGGCCCACAAAGGAAAAGAGAAGAAGCGGAAACTTCTGCTCGTTTGGGAAGGCTGGACTCTTCCAGCAAGCTGCCTCAAGCTCTTCTCTTCGCATATCATGTATATTCTCCATCTCCTCCTCACTCTCTGCTTTTGGCTGGTTGGCACGGCCTCTCATAACAGTAAGAATTACGGCAAGCTCTCCATATAGAATGAAGTTATCCCTGGCATTCACCGGCTGGGAAGCCCCCACGGCAATATGGGGTAGTGATGAGGCATTTTGCTTCTCATATTCAATGAAAAACCAGATGTCCCAGTGACCTCCAATGGGTGGACACCATCCAATTCTTGGGCAGCAACGCAAGAAAGGATTAGGGAACCTAGAAATTGCAATGCATGAATAATTGAACCTCCAAAGCCAATCATCAGACAGAAAATCAAAATGCATCGTACTTACGTTACGCGGTGTACTCCGCAGAAATCCAATAAGTTTGTATGCCGGCGCGGAAGCCTTCGACTAGCAAGAGCCCACGTATGGAAGGACTGGACCGTACCACGAGAACAGATTTCAGCGGACCACCACCCTTCATCCTCGGTGTCACTCCTATCTTCCGGTGGGATGTAATCAGTGAATGGAATATCGTTTTCGGGACGGTAGGTGTGTGTTATTGAAAGAGGCAATGGGGTAAACGGGACCGATGTTACTGAAGGAGAATCGACAGGGCTCGTTTCGATTTCCCAAGGAACTAGAGTAATTCCAAAATCTGAAAGAAATGATGCTTCAATATCTCCTTCTGAACCGGGCTCACTTGAGACGAAGGGCTTCTCTTTTTCTCCAGTAACGACCTCGTATAGCGATCTCACTTTCTCGCGTGTCACATTTTCCACCATTATGAAAGAGGCTAAGCAAGAAAGAATACTTGAGGATTGAAGAAGTAAGTAGTTGGAGTCTTGCGGTCGGCTGTCAGTTGCCGGGGGTGGTGAGTGGTTGGATGATGGATGGTGAACGGGTAAATGGGGCGAAGGAAAAGAAAAGAGGAACAGAAAGCAAGGCCACAATCATGTGATAGGGGTCACAATGACGACAAATCTCTCAACCTCTTTAGCCATCATGATGTTAAGACGGGAATTCTATCACAACCAAAGTATTAACTTTTCAGGAAGCCATTACTGAGATAGCCAATGATGGTGAAGTATCAATCATACAATTGTGTCTTTAATTACATTTGCTAGGGGTATGTATAGTATTTATCTAATACATTGCACAAATCCAGAATCAAGGCATGCATACATAATCTACTCTAAGAAGGAGCTCGTCTTAGCTTCACCATAGGCTATTCGCCATAGGCTACTAGACTCCAGCACCACGGTGAGGTGCGAGCTCGTCGCTGGAGGCCTGATCGATACGATACAGGTACCAGTTTCCGCGGGATTTTGAAGGTCCTTGAGGAGGCCTATTTCTCTATTGAAGGTGGGACGTTAGCCAATGAATGTCAAATAGTTTTGTTTTGAGAAGACCTACCGCCGGAATCCAGACGGAGAGATCGGACGGATGCTTCCACTCCATCCAGCCTGCGAAAGACATTAGCATGTCAAAATATGAGCATGATATCATATTGATAATACGTACGCGTCAGTTCCGGGAACAGCGCCAGAAGCACTGCTGTCCGGCTGACTCTCGCCGGTTGGGGCGGCCGTGCCCGTCTCTGTGTCCATCTGTGTGTCTTCAGCGGAATTATGCTGCCGCTGCTCCTCCCTCCGAGCTCGCCAGGCCTGTGCCCGAGCACGGGAACGTCTCTGCCGGTTGGTTAGCTCTCCCTCGACCCGGTTTCCAGCCGAAGTATTGTTTCCATCGGCGGCCGCGGGCAGAGGGCGGATGCTAGAGCCACCAGGAGTGGGCGTAATCGCACCACCACCACGACGACGATTACGTCGACGCGCAGGAGACGAAGAACCGCGGGGGTTGACAGCGGCGGAAGAGGAGGAAGGGGGAGCGGACAGAATATCTGCCATGAGATTGCTCTGTGTTCAACGTTAGCCTCATTCAAGTGATAAATCGTGTTTCATGTTCTTTCTTACCTGGGTCGTCCGGAGTTGCTCAACGGCAGCCCACATTCGCTGACCAAGTTGAACCACTGGGCAAGCTTTTCCCGGATGATGGGTACCACATCCGTGTTTGCAAACCCAGGGCACCCTTTGGTCAGCCTTGTTATAGTCAGTACATTCCATTCAAGATAGCCTTAGCTGTGGGGCATACTATGCGGTCAGTAGGGGGCTTCTTGCCATCTCGGTCACGCCGACCACCGCGGTTGGGGTCTTCACCCGCTCCAGCGGCTGCTGCAGTGACCGGGGCGTCAGCCCATCTGCTATGCTGGAGGCCAGACATAGCAAAAAAAAAAAAAGGAAGGGGGGGGCGGGAGGCTATTCAAATGAGCTTGTTGTTGCTGGAGAGCGATATCGTCTTGGTTCCTAGGCAGGGCCAATATGAGATGGAAGCAAGTTGTGGTGAGAAGAAGAGAGAAAATAGAAAATGAAGAGAGAAGACTGGGAGCCTTATAACACATCCAAGCAACAGGGTCGCCTAGGTTACAAAAGCAAAGTTCTACAACTACATTATTCACTGGTCTTCGCCTCCCCAGCCATCGTTTTGAGTCTAGGATTGAATTTCTCTCCTTTCCGAGTTCACTTCCTTCCTTACCTGACATCCTGAATTTGAATGCTCTTGTCCTCCGGATGAATCTCTCCGATCCCTTCAATGTGTTTGTATAGTTATACATAGATAGGAGACAGTTCATATTGGCTTGGGCAGAAGCAGCAATGATTTTGAACCAACTTTCAAGATCAGCGCGCCAATCACAAGCGAATCTCTTTCGCTCAAAGTATACTCGACATGATAACAAAGTCGTATAGTGATTGTCGTAGAAGATTGAGGTCTCTAAATAAACATCTGTTCGTCCTGTGTATGTACCTACAAAAGAGAGACTAACACAAAATGCATTCATTCACTTTGTTTGGGATGGGAGATGTGCAGGCCTCCTCTTCTCTTGTTCTTCGCTCCTCCTGTTCTTCGCTCATCTTGTTCTTCGCTTCTCGTCCTACCAGGCATAACTGTATCCCTCATCTCATCTTAATCTTTGATAACATTCCTCTTGATCACGCCAGCTTACACTATCAGAATGGTGAATAACGCATTACCCGAGACGGAAAGGGAGTGGAAGGAAGCCGCTCGGAAGTACAAGGTAAAGAATCAAAACCTGTGTATGAACTTGAAATTGCATTCCGCGTCTAGAGTCAGCTATAAGCAGTTTCTACTCTTCAGGACCATCCTGCCGTCCATTGTTCCCCCACAGCAGCTCAATAACCAGACCCTTGGCATTGCACCTCTGATTGGGCAAGCCAAGCAACTCCTGAGTGATGTGGCATTCCAGGATTATATCTTAGATGTCTCCACCAGGCAGATTCAGGGGACTTGGAGTGCAGCTTGGGGAGGAAACGACAGACTGTTCAGGGTTCCAGCTATCCAGCAACAGCAAGTAATTCGGGACGAGCTTCGGGACGAACGTTGTGAAGCCAGTGTTAACACTTCCATCGTTTCCTTTTTGCAAGCTATTGCGGAGCTGGTTCCTCAGTCTGGACGCCAATGGACGGCTGATAGAATCAAGCTTATAGCAGACTTTAGCACGCGACGACGCAACAGACAGTTCGTTGCATATACCGATGGCCAGCTGGAGGATACCGCTAGTCGTCGGCCTTTGGCACTCATTGAGTGTAAGCGATCGCGGCGGGATGATCATTCCCCAGATGTTGATATGCAGGAGGTGGCACAGATGGTGGCATGGGTGAAGCAGCACCCGGGCGTCCCAGGAAACGATAAGCGAGTTCTTGTGTCGCAGGATGGAACGGATATTTATATCTCGGTCCTCCAGTACGACCCAGGATGGTTCCGCTATCTCCAGGGAGGCCGCGGGAGTATCGTGCATGCTGGATTTGCCTACATGCACAGATACGGCCCTTGGAATATCTGGGTAGCACAACAAATGGAGCATTTTGCCCAAGTTATCCTCGCCCTGCTATTTCTGTAGCCCTCTTGAAGACCCATGTTTGTCCCATCGCGTGGAGATCTTTGAGAAACAAACCTCTTATTGCTCAAATTCCCGCTGATTTATAATCCGGGTGCCTGTATCGCATCGATCAGGCCTCCAGCGACGAGCTCGCACCTCACCGTGGTGCTGGAGTCTAGTAGCCTATGGCGAATAGCCTATGGTGAAGCTAAGACGAGCTCTATATGCCGATATGGCTTTTGTGTACCCGCAGTTCCTGCGAGAAGGCAAACTTTCGTTGTATGATACCAATGCCCCTTGGTATTGAATTATCGTTTGTTGATATACCATATCACATTATGTATGGAGAATATGCCAATGCCAATGTATGTACCTGCATCTCTTATGAAGTAGAACTTATAGACCTCTTGTATGATATAACCCCTATGTTCCATTAAGGTATCCAAATTAATGGTCCCACAGTGTTCCTTTTCTAATGTAATTTATATTGGCTCTCACCAAGTGTCCAGCTTTAGCCATGTGGTAATGTGGTATGGAGATATATGGTCAAGAGAAATATACCATTCGAGATTCAGGCTGCTCTGTGATACAACAGGTCAACAATACGCAATAGAATCAGATTACTTCAGTATTAAAAAATCATACTCGTCTAGATTAATTAACTAATCAAGTATTAACATATTTTCCCTTGCCATATTTTACAAGCTTTCATATGCGATAAATTTATAGTTTAATCATATAATGCTTTGGTGACAAAACAATATATCATGTTTAGATATTTAGGTTTATGGGGAGCGCTTACGGTGCTAACCTCTTTCTCGCTTGGGTGTACTCCGTATGATAGTTGGCACTACCAAACTCATGTTGTTGTATATATTTGTTTCGCCCGCGCTGTCTATATAAGACATTCAGTTTAGGGGCGTGGGAGAAACCATTTTATCTTTTTGAAAAACACACGTTACATAAATAGCTATTTCAACTAATCCTAGTATATCAGCTCTTTTTCAGAATGACCAGACCCTATACAAACCCCTTTAGTGTTTTCGTTCAACTAGTAAGTAAAGCCACTTACCGCTGCCAATCTTGGAGCAGACATTATTTCTTATGTTTCAATAACTTTCACGTCAACGATAGCCTTCAATTTGCCCACTTTTGTTGCCTGTTAACGGTCACCCATGAAGGCAAGGGGGTAAAACTCCGTGTATAAGAATAGTAACGGTATTGAGATTACGACTTTCACATACAGCCCCTTACCTAGGATCGACACGTGACCTGTTATCGATAGCGCATCATTAGCGTCAGAGCGATCGCGACTGCGTACGGACAAGTCGGCGCGATGGAGCAATGGGGAAATGGACTCAACGCGTACCATTTCCGAACTGAAATCCTCCTTCATCCGGGCGCAGGTGCGTATCCTGTCTGAAAGCCTCGAGGCTCCCGAGGATTGGAGAAGCTATGCCACCGCCTCGGAGGAGGATGACCTGAGCGATAAGGTGGTCGGAGATGTCCTACAAAAATGTATGGTTCGTGGAATAGCTGCTTGGCTACGGTTGTGGTCCTATGCTATTGACTGCACTGGGGGCTCTACACCACTCCAGCCGTCTTTGTTCCTCGCTGACTGGGATGTAGTAAACAGCGCATTGAAGCAGCATAATCGCATTGTGTACTCCTCCCAAGCGATCCAACATGTCGCACAGCAAGTCGCCAGCCTCTACTGGACGTCCGTGAACGACGCGATACGCGACCAAAACTCATTCGAGAGAGGTATTGAGAAGACGGTCGATTTGTCCAACCACTTGTGCGTCGCAACTCTCTTGAACTCCATTCCTCCCGACCGTAGGAGTCATTCGACTAACGCGTATCAGAAACCTTACGCAGCTCCCTGTGGAACTCGAGGACCAGTCCGCAAGCGAGGAGGAACGTCTCAGGTTGGGTTACAATGTGGTAATTTGGGTTTCATCTGGCTGACAGGAGGCGGTTACAGGTATCAGGAGTTACGAGAACGCTTGGTCACTCTTGATGACCAGCGACAGCAGCGACGACGGCGTCTGGAACAATTGCGCCGGTTACAGCGTCTTTTGGAACCATTTCAGGAACCGCAGCAGAATATTCAGCCGAACCTTATTACTCGGGATGGCGAACTAGTGCAGGAATTGGAGAAGATGAGGATGCTCGTTGCACGGGTAGGAGGTCGCATCCAACATAGCAAGAAGCGCGGTAATAGCCAGGAGGATCCGACTTCGTATCAGCTGGACTCGGACCAAAAGCTGGAAGCCCTCCTTGATATGAATGGGTGAGGGATGTGATTGAACATTGATAAAACAAAGACGAGAAAGAGGGAAGAGGGAAAAGAGAAAATAAAAATAAAAATAAGAAATAAGAAAACAAACGAAGGAACAACGACGAACAATGTCATAATAATAAAAGAGAGGAAGAAGATGAATGAAATGTACAGGGCAAAAGCCGTCGGGGCCGTAATGATGACTCTATATTTATGTAGATGGAAATGTAAATATATATGGAATGCCGACATAACCAGTAGATCTCAATCTTACTCGGTAGTAAGTTTTCTCATCCTCCAAATGAGAAAGCGCGATCCTAAATTTAACAAGGCCCATTGCTTTCTTCAGCAGTGCAAGGGATGGAAGGCCATTGTACGAAAATCACTGCAGCTGCACCACTCACAGAAGGTGCCAGTGAAGGTCAAACACAGAGAGGAAAAGCAAAGGGACTCCCTACCTGCTCGGCTGCACTGTCTTCCACTATTTTTGTTTATATTCACTACCACCAACACATTCACATAGGTACGGCCAACCGTCATTCCTCCCTTGTTGTTGGGATTTGGTTGGATCATCATCATCTCTAGATTCCGTGGGATCACCACGCAGCATAGCAGAATGCTGACCGCCTTGGATGGAGATCCGGAAGATCGGAGCTCAGCTTCCGAAGGTCCGGTGCTTGACCATTTCAGTGATAGCAGTACTGCTGAAGGTGATCCTGCTGAACATGCTGAACAAACTACCACGACTCCCACTTCCACCCGTACAGTACGATTTCTCCTTCCCGTCTCTTCGACCCACTCTCCTGCTACCGTTACTGAGGCCGTTGTTGCCCCTGACCAGCCTATCATCATCGCCGAAACTACCCCGGAGACTCCCGCTAGGCGACCTTTCGTGCCTGGCCACCGTCGGCGTTCCACTCGCGTAAATCGTCTGGACTTGGAGCGCTTCCGGAGGGACGTCTTAGGCATCGACACTCCTGGCTTTGGATTCGACGACGATTCTTCCTTGCCCGCGGTTGACCCCTCTGTTGACCCTCAGTTGGAGAGTCTAAACCGTGACTTCGAAGCTGTCGCTCGGTCCATGAATAGTGGCAGTACCCCCGACTCTGGTTCCTTCTTGAGCGGCGTCGATAACGCGGGTAACCAATCCACTATGACCAACGTACCTCGTCAGTCAATGTCTCCTGCCATGTCTCACACTCCTGGTCAGGTCAATGGTGCTGGAATCGCTGGTATGAACGCGGGGGTTCCTCTGAATGCTGGTCACCAAATGGATCTCCATCACCTGTACGACATGGTCCTGGAACTGAGCGAGGTTTTGAAGAACAATCGCCAGATGACACAGAGCATCGTCTCCAGCGCTGAGGAGGTCATGGTATGTCTAGCGCGAACCTTGGTCACATTGCACTTTTCGTGGCATCCAGCTAACGATTATCTAGCGACGCTCTGCTTCGGAAGGCACCTCCCCAAGCTTGCAGCAAGTTAATGGCGAGATCTCTGGTAAGAATCTTGAGTCTCCACCTCCATACTTGCACATTTCAGCTACTAACGAAGCCCACAGCTGCCCGTATAACCGAACTGGAGCGCGCTCTGGCCAGAGAAAAGCGCCTGAATGAGGTCTTGCGAAACGAACAGGTGGAAAACACAAAACTCATCGGGGATTACGAACAGGCAGTCGGTACAATGGTCGAACAGATCCGTAACTACTGCCAGAACAACAACTTGCAGTATCTGGCGCAGAAACGGCACTACAACAATCTTCTCCAAAACGAACGGGATGCGCATCTGCAGAGCCGCCTGGAGCGTGATCACTGGCATAACCAAACCATGAAATGTGCAGAGATGATTCGTACTGCCTATCGTATTCGATGTGAAGAAGAGAATGTGCCAATCCGCGTCGTGGCTGGGCTCCAAAACGAAGTCCGAGCCTACCGCAACGCTCTTGGTATGGAGCCGGAGAGACCAGAGGAGGAGTACGGATGGGAGATCCTGAAGGATGTGCCCGGAGGTCCTGCCCCTGGGGAGTAGCTGACTACCCAGTCAGTTATGTTCCGGTTTCTACTTAACGAGCTACGACAGTTTCCTTTCCATATCCTTTTGTTCTCTTGACAGGGCGTTTTGGAGCGGCTCTTGGGCGGCGACGGAATTTCCTGGTGCTGATACCCTTCATATCCTTCTTACTCGTTCCTGTATCATAGCATTTGGAGCATGTGCCGGCAAGGATACGGAGTCTGGATAGTGAATTTCTTGGGGGAATCCGGATTTGCTGGTCATTGTCTGGAAATCTTTGGAAAATATCTAGCTACGAATCTTCTGCGTCAGGCGTTGGCTTAATTAATCCCAGCTCTAGCAGCGGTTGACCTGGTCCCGCCGATGGAAATAGCATTTAGCAAGCATTAATCTCGTGGTGTGCATCGTAAAGATTCATGTTCCTTCTTTCAATCCGTATAGAAAACCTCCTCCAACGGCTTCCACCACGAAGGTCCCTCCGCACTGCCCACAGCCCCAGGAGTCGGACTCTCTTGCATGCCATCCGTCATCGCCCACCACTCCCTCACCTTAGGATTGGCCTTCATCTTCTCCATATCACCCTCGAAATCATCCCCGACATATTTAAACGTCGCAAACAAAGTCCGATCATTATCAAAGAAGATCGAATCTACTCAAGCATACACATTAGCCACAATCCCCACTTCCCAAAACCGGGGTCAACTGCATACAATCCCGAATATTACACTCCTTAATCTGCTGCAGCACCTCGGGCCACACATTCGCGTGACATTCTTTGTAGGCTGCCAGGGCAGACGGCTTCAGGTGGACTATCTGGGCGATTCGTCGGACGGGCATTTTTTTTGTTTTATCCGTGGGGGCGTAGCTGTTGGAACTCGCAGTGTTTAGCTTATAGTCGGGGACTGGAAGGTGGTCTGGTTTGTGGGGTTTTAGTTTGGGTCGGTATTGTAGGTAATAGTGGAAGAAGAAGTGACATACCTGGCTATGGTTCTATTGCGTAGTAGTATTAGTGTAGTTGGATTGTAGTGTTTCAATGTATCCAAGTGAGGATGGAAGAAGCCGTTATTATAAGCTCGAGAAAAGAGGGCCCTCGGTTGATTGTAAGTTATACATGTTCTTTGATTGATGCATTGGAATCCACTCTCGGGGGGTTTTAGCCCGAGATTTAGTGTATGGAGACGACATGCTACACTATACTACACTACAATAAGTACACAACACTACATATCAGTGGAACTAGAGCATTATATTAGAATGATATTTTCACAACATATAGGTCTCTGAAACTCATTTAATATAACAATTATATTAATATTATCAAACGCCATTTATACCCAGCCCGAGAATACACCATACCGCCAAATACTCCGAAAGAAAAAGGAATTACTACCATACTACCCTCATAACTCATATCCAGAAAAAGAAACCTTGCACAGAATCATACCATCTGACGTCTCGGCACCGGCCGAATCCATGAAACAGCCAGATTGGCCGCGATGGCAATGACCCCGATTATCCACAGCGAGCGCGCGTAGTGTGTACCATTGTATCGGAATATGATGGCGAAGATGATGCCCCCCAGATTGCCCATTCCGCCTACGGCGCCGGAGACGATGCCTTTATTTATTGTTAGTTTTGGTTTTGTTTGATGGGGATTGGAGGGAGGGAATATGTGAGTGGGGAAGAAGAAGGGAAAGCTTACCGTTGGCGAAGGGATGAACGTGAGGTACAACGGCGAAGTTTGCTCCGTTGCATGCTTCCAGGAAGAAACCAAGGCCGGCAGTGAGTCCGAACATGGTGGCTTCGCTTTTTGGATCTGAGAGACCGAGCGCCAGCTGGAAGGCGCCCATTGCGATACCCAGGAAGGTGAGGAGGATCTTCTTCGACCAGACGGACTGCGTGTGCTGGTAGAGGATATCTGCGAGAAAGCCGCCAGCGGGGCGACAGATGACGTTAAGAAGGCCGAACATGGCGGCCCACTGGCCGGTCTTGGTCTGACCCATGTAGGGGAAGTTTTCGGCGTAGAATTCGCCGAGGATGGAATTGATGGCGAGCTCGGCGCCGAAGGAGCAGGCGTAGGGGATTGCGACGGCGGCGGTGGAGAGGCTGAGGAGGACGTTCATGGTTTCTTTAAAGGTCGGGGCAACGACGGTGTCAGTGCGAAGGGCTTCGAGCTGGCCCGGCATTGGGGCTATGGACTCAGGTGGGGAGGGATTTCCTTTCTTTTCGATGTCTGCGACGATGTTGGTTACCGAGGGTGGACTGGATGGATGGCTGGAAGAGATGCCGGAGTTGATTTCGACGATGTTGCCGTTGAATCCGCTGCTCTCTTCAGCCCAGAGGTGGCGTTCCGACCATTTCCCTGTTGGGGTGTCTTCACAGGTGAAGAACATTGCGACGGCTATGGCGACGATGATGATAAATGGCACGATGTAGGCCACTCGCCAGGCTTTATGGGCTGGGAGGCCTTGGTTGTGGACGAGTGAGTCGAAGACGGCGGGCATTAGGAAGCTGGCGAGCGGAAATGCTTGTTAGTTGGCTGTTTGCGGGCTTCTTCTGCGAGAAAAGTACATACTATGTGATGCCGCCACCAGCATTTCCCCATCCTGCGGCCAGGGAGTTGGCGGTTCCGACGATGCTTTTGTCGAAGAACCCAGTACACCAGACCTGGCAAGGGACGAATGTACCTCCCAGGATGCCGACAAAGAAGCGTAGGGCGATCAGTCCCTGGGCATTGGTGACAAGCCCGGCCATCACGGTTGGGATGGAACCACAGAGTAAAAGGCCAATGAATACTAGACGCGGACCAAAACGGTCGCAGAGCGGCCCTGCAACGAATCGAACAAGTAACCTGAAGGAGTCAGCTAGAATGTTGGATCCATTCATCTGGATGTCTTACGTCGCTAGAAGAGCAACAATGTTTGAGTTGGCAACTTCAGCCTGCGTCATGTTCAAGTCTTTTCGGATCGTGACAGTCAACTACAGATGGTTAGGGGTATATCTTACACAATGCCGGGCATGACAAGTCGACAGAACTTACCAGAGGCGGAAATGCATACCACGATAGGAATGCAACCATAAATCCAAGCCAAGAGAAGAAGTAGACCCGTCCATATTTGTCAAATGGGTTAAGTATCGGGATGGATCTGGCCTTTCGGTTACTTGGGTTGACCTCCGGAGAGAGAAAGAGTAGTTTAATGGAATCCATCTCTGACCTAGCGGCCCAAGTGGAATGTAACTAAAAGACAACAGATAGAATGGCTGTACAGAGTATCAATAACTATAGGTGTAGGATATCAATGTCACCACCAGGGTGTGTTCACAAGTTGAGATGCGGTTTGGAATGCACTAGTTAAGGGAGTTGGATCTCATATATAGACTCTTTGACAGACATTGACCAGTGTAAGCAAAAGCAAAAATAGCATATATGATCTGATATCGATAGATCTTGGATGCCCAGGAATAATTAACTTTTTGAAGTCATAGGAGTTGTAGCACGGTATGCCACTGACAGCATAGAAAAGCTAGATTAGATATTGCTGTAATATGACATCCCTTGGCTAATAATTGCAAGGGTGATAGATAGGATATCATGGAGTCACAGAAGCAAGTATATCTCGGAGCTTTGATTGGACGGTCCTCATGGCTCTGTCCAGTGTCTCAATGTGGACAAAAGTAAGGTTCCGTCGGATGGGACTGGGCTTCCCGGCCTCACGGGTGTGGCTAATCGAGAACCACATTTGGTCAGCATAGATAAGGCCATATGGTGGATATCTGCCGGCATTTAGCCCTTGACTAACAGCACCAGGCCGATAAGACCCTCTCTGTCTTGCAATATCTCCGCGGCCTCGAGGTATGGGTGCCATGCATCACCCTCGGACACAGACCATGGCGCCCTGAAGGCGAGGAAGCATGGACCAAGATCGACACCGTCGAGATTCTCTTTCAATTGATAAACCAAGCGCTTCTCATTGGATACCGCTAGATGCTGAGACTCAGGAGGAGCGCCACATGAACTTTGGGTCAACGTTCATGTCCCTAATCTTCCCGGGCCAAGGCAACGAAGAGCACGAGAATAGCGAAACATACTCGTTCGAGGTCCGCGGAGATGTCAAGGGGAGAGCCCACTTCTTAAAGCATCCGATGGGGCTGTGAAGGATCGTCTATGGGTCCCGGATACTATCATGAGTATAGATAATGAGAGATTTGGGTCGGGTCCACCGCTATCTCACGTTTAAAAGATAAGCGTCAAGAATGAAATCCGCCAAATAGGATTGGACGGTGAGTCGGCCATAAAGTTGGTCGGTAACGTGACATTGCCTGCCCTAAGGAACCTAGATAGAGGGTCTTTGATGCCTTTCTTGGCTATACCTCTAAGGGTATCGTCTATAGACCATTCTGTATTGGCGGAATAATAGTTCGGGCGTATAGTCGGGACTATGATCATCCATTTCTGGTTAGAATAAGATCCAGTATGGCTACTTCATTATAGAATGGAACAAAATAGTTGGTAGTTCACAGTTCATAAATTAACTACTAGCTAGTTGAGTTTAGATACAGTAGAAGGAAGAAAAGCAGATGATGGCCCTGCCAGCAAGATCCACAACACCAGATATCAAAGCTCGTAACGCGTATCACATTGGTTCCATTACCAATCAATCGTCTTAGATTGTTTGGTCGGGCTAGGTCTATCACCCACCTTCTTGCCTCTCGTTCCCTTGTATTTCTTATCACACTTCTGGAATGGATCGGGTGCCTCTCCTTTCTTCACTTTCCACCGCTCAGTCCCCAGCACGGAGTCCAGCTCCTCGACGGGTGGTAACTTCAGGTAGATCCAACCATCGTCCCGTTCTTCAACCGGGAAAGTTGCGATATTCATAGCCTCATCGTTCGAGCAACGGCCGGCTTGCTCGCCATTGAGTTCGAAATTACGCTTGTGGTATGGACAGGACACCCAGTATTTGCCGGCGTCATCATCGCCGATCAGACCATCGGATAGGACAAATGCACGCTTGTGGGGACACATCTGTTGCGTTGCGTAATATTTACCCTTGACCTTGAAGATTGCCAGCTGAGTGTCTCCCCGCTTGACATTGGCCGAGGAGATAGCAGGAGGTCCATCCGAGAAGTGATCAGCTCTGATAATTGGCTGCCATGAGAGAGCCGACCACTGGTGCCCCTTGAAGTCCTCCTTTGCGCCCTCGCTTGGCCAGTAGGTAGGTCGTTCCTGATCACGTTCTTTGACAAGTTCCACTGTGTCAACCGTCTCATCGGTGTTGGCAAACTGCTGGAAGTACTTGCGGCGCTTCGGATTGCGGATAGTCTCAGTCCACTCGCAGAAATAGCTGTCAACCAACTCCTGCATTTGCTGCTCCATCTCAGCGCATATTCCCAGTTTGTCATCAATGACGACCTCCCGAAGGTAATTGATTCCCCCAGGCAGATTTTCGATCCACCGAGCAGTTCGCTGCAGTTTATCTGCCGTTCGGATGTAGAAAATGAGATAGCGATCAATAATTGGAATGACCATATCTGGTGGTACATCTTTGGCGAGTAATTCCGAATGTCTAGGCTTCGCGCCCCCGTTCCCGCCTACGAAGATATTGAACCCTTTTTCTGTAGAGATCAAGCCAAAGCTAAAATGTGTCAGTTTCGGATAAAGTATTTCGAAAGAAGCAAACATACTCTTTGTTTTGTGCCTCGGCGCATTCTCTCACGCAACCGGACACGGCACCCTTGAGCTTGTGGGGAGATCGAACACTTTTGTAGCGTTCTTCAAGTCTAATAGCCATCCCGACACTGTCTCCAATACCGAAGCGACACCAAGTAGTTCCGACGCAGCTCTAGAATGCTAATTAGCTCTATGTAAAAGATATGAAAGCAGATGGCGTCCACATACCTTGATGGTCCGGAGTGATTTGGCATAAGCATGGCCACTTTCCATGCCGGCATTAACTAATTCTGTCCAGATATCAAGCAAGTCCTGTTTCTTGGCTCCAAACATGTCGATACGCTGGCCACCCGTGATCTTGCAGTAAAGGTTATATTTCTTGGCCACCTGGCCGATAGCAATCAGCTTGTCTGCAGTGATTTCACCACCGGGTACTCGAGGGACCACAGAGAAAGTTCCGTTGCGTTGGATGTTAGCAAGGAATCTGTCATTAGTTTCTTGTAGCTCATGATATTCGTGGTCCATGATGTGTCCATTGAAGAGACTTGAAAGGATTGACGCTATAGCAGGCTTGCACAGCTCGCACCCAAGAGAATCGGGGCTTCTTCCGACTGCCTTCATAATGTCTTCGAACGTTTTCAGTTGCTTGATAGCGACGATATTGTAGAGGTCAGCGCGCGAATGTGGAATATGTACACATACTGTATAAAGTTTAGAACAAGACCTCAGTTCACAGACAAGGATACTTACAGTTGTTCGAAACTTCCTGGCCCATATCAAGCATGGTCTTATTGAAAATAGATTGCACCAACGGCATACAGCCTCCACAGCCAGTGCCTGCCTTTGTGCATGATTTGACCTCTCCGATTGACTTGCATGTGCCACTCTTGACACTTTCAACGACATCACCCTTGGTAACGTTGTGACATGAGCAAACCTGGGTATCGTCGGCACTGTACAAACAATAGTCAGCAGGCCCGTTGCATCTAGACATTTGAGAGAAAACTCACAGGTCATCACCGTTCTCTTCCCCGCCAGCTTGGGCTCCCAGAATGAACTGGCTTGGAGGCACTTCGAGTTCTTTCTGGCTCTTTACCAATTGGTTCAGTTTGATATAGTCCTTTGTATCACCGATCATCATTCCTCCGAGTAGATATTTGCCGTCCATAGTGAATAGATATTTCTTATAGACACCACCAAAAGGATCTTTGTATGTAAGAGCCTTCACTGGTTGCTCTTTTTCCGCCGTGTCTTTGACCCGCGGAATAGTTGCGACCGATGGTCGACGGCCTGGCAGGAACTTGGGCCCATCGCGATCCGCAAAAAAGTCACCAAAACTGGCGACATCCACCCCCAAGAGCTTCAGCTTAGTGCTCAAATCTGGTCGCCTGAAGCTCTTTGGTTCCTTATCCGGATTGGTCAAATTGAACGCTAGGACATCTGCCATTTCAATGCCGGGTGCAATAATACCAAACGTCTGGTTTTCCCAGCTTGCACATTCTCCGATAGCGTAAATCTCGGGGATTGAAGTTTGTAGGCTATACGACCAGATTAGCTGATAGAGTATTCAAAGTTGCGACGACTCTTACCTTTCATTGATAACAAACCCACCCCGCGAAGCGCACTGAATACCAGCAGACGTCCCTAACTCGTCTCTAGGACGAACTCCGATCTACATATAATGTTAGCAATTTGAATGCACGTGAGATGCGGCTAGACGTACAGCAAAACAGACGCAGCAGCAATCTATTTCTTCCCCATCCTCAAAGACGATACCAGTGACATTGTTGTTCTCATCCGTCTTAATCTTCGCTACTCGCTTCTGATGCATCACATCCAAGCCCAGTTCTCTGATTTTCCGCGTCACTAGGGTACCGGCATCGCCGTCTAGTTGCCTTGCCAGAACCCACTTGTTGCGGTCAATGAGCTTGACCTTGCCGAAATCTTCTAGATCCGTCATTGCTTTGGCAGCCTCGAGTCCTAGCAGACCACCTCCGACGGTAGTTGCCGTCTCGCCCTTATGTTTCGAGGCAAATTCGATCAGGCGCTCGAGGTCTGATATTGTTCTGTAGACAAAAACCCCGGTGGCATCATGGCCCGGAGTGTGAGTGGGAAGTACCGCATCAGACCCGGTAGCGAGAACAAGAAGATCGTAGGCGATTATGTCACCTGTTGAGGTTTTTACCGTTTTGCGGTCAGAAAATATATCGGTCACTCTGGTGTTGAGATGGTAGTCGAACGATCGGTCTTTGAATGATCCGTACTAATACATTCAACCCTCGGCGTCAGAACGAATGTTGTACTGAGTCCACGGAGAAGCAGTGATATACTTACCCATTCTTTCGGGTTGAGGTAGAGGTCCTCGATATTGCGGTGTTCGAAAAACGAGGAAAGGCCGACTCGGTTGTAAGCAACGTGAGGTTCTTCGCCAATAACGACGATATCGTATTTTCTCCTCTCAGAATCTTGCTTGACCAATTTCTCCCTTTACAGAGAAAGGGTGTCCTGTCAGTACCCGAACTGCATTGTTGACCATCGCCTCATCCCCCGTCGGATGTGTAGCACCTACAGGAAGGAAATAGCCACCATTCCCAGTCCCACCACTACTATTCTTTGGCGTCTGTTAGGGTCATCCAAGTGGGCTTCTGTGTCAAAGCCAAAGTTCTGAGAATGCGACACCCCATTGAGAACGCCATTGTTGGCTGCGCCGCCATTCCTGGGCGCTTCTAGGAGAGGCATTGTGTCTGGGGTGGATAGCACGTTCCAGGGAGGAAATCCAACCCCCAGTGCACGGTGTTGGCATGCGTTTTTATTTCTCAAGAACTATGTACATGGCAAGCCCCTTCGGGTGCCAAGATCCAGGATCGGGTCTCTCATCTCCGGGGACACCATGAGATCATGGCGAGATGTTTGACGATCGAATCACCTCAATATCGATGGTCATCAAGCGGTTTCGCAGCAGATGCTACGACATACCCAATAGGAACCTCCATATTCGGATGATGGTCGGGTTATCGGCAGTTGTGACAGGGGTTGATAAGGACGATAGCATCCGAGCATGAGATTGGGCCAGGGATTTCTCCGCGGAGATGGGGGGTCCATTTAAGGGAAATCCGCTGATACTGCAAAAGGTTAGGCGGGATCGACGGAAGGCCTCCTTATCGATCGCTCCCGGCTTATCGGACGCATGTCAATGGTGGTCGGACGAAAAGCTTAACGGGCTCAAAATTCAATTAATTGCATCTGTTATTATTCTGACTACAAGGTTGCAGAACGGCATATCAATAAAACCCGCATAGTACAGATAGTCAGATACTAGGCCGACCTAGTATTAGTATTACATCACGAGCTCTTCTCGGTATGGTGTGGTCCACCGGGGCCCTTGTCCTCCTAAGAATAGACCAAAGTGAAAGCCGTCGCATTCGATGTATGATGTAGACGATTTAGCACTTACTAGCAGTGGTGTCGAGCTGGTATGTGAACCCCCCTTGTTGCCTCAGGTTTCACCACAGGCCATAAATATTGTACGTAAGACAAATCCCAACTAGGATGCCGATATACCCGGAGCTCTTCAAGCAGCATAGCAATGGCGTTTTAAATTACTCAGTTGATTTGAATTGTTCTTGGATGGCGGGATTCTTGTTCTTCTCATGTGATAAGTCTTAGGGATGTAAACGGTCCTTCGGGGAACCACTACAGGTATACTCCGTACGAATACGTCAACCGAAAATTTCGACTAAACCCCAGATCCAGTGATATTTACCTGGATCTAGAAGAATCTCGGGCTGCGAATGGAAACGGAGCAAGATCCCTCTAACCGACCTACCGAGATTTCCGTTCAAGAGTTAGTAGCTCCGGTCTGACAGCCGTGAGCCCCATCTTGCCCATTCTCCACGCGAACCAGGCTCATTCGAATGATAAGCAATCACACTTCTAATTGGGGGTTGCACATAGCTTCACGGCATTGACTCCATGACTCCATGGCTCTTCCGAGAACCAATGATTATGACGAAAAAGAAATCCTGCAAGCTTGAGCGAGCAAATGGCCGGACCCATGAGTGGGTCAACGCGATTTATTTGCCCCAAGGTTTGGCTGTGCGGTGGGACGCCCTACTTGCCCTGATTTCGAGCGTCCCACATCCAGAATGGGCCAGGTTTTGGGACTCCGCGGAACTCGCTGGTTAGTAGGGGCTTTGCTTATTGTGGGCTTTCTCCGAGGCGTTATGCGGCATCAAGGAGTTACTGTCGTAGCCTACTATGAATATCCACTATCCGCACGTGAATAACGCATCCTGTTGCCATCATACGATAGGCAAGAGTCTTTTACTGCAGTGCATTCCCCCCTCAGTTGGAGTCAATGCAACGTCAGATTATTTGATGTATTTAAACTCAGCTTCCTTGTTCAGGTTTTATCCCTCGTAGCCTTACTTTCATTGGCCTTCCCCTGCCGGTATCATGGCCGCCATCACGGAGGTTCGGGCGGATACGTTCGTCCCAACTGACCTCGTCCTTAAGACAGGTCAGATCAAAATCGAAAGCGAAGAGATCTTGATGAAAGACCTGTCCGATATCCCTCTACCACCACCATCACAACGGCCGACAGAGGTGCTGAGCGTAGATAAAGGAACCCCAGATAGCCATGTTCCGCGTGATCCTCGCCTCATCAGATTAACGGGTGTTCATCCGTTTAACGTTGAGCCACCTCTCACAGATCTGTACAAAGAAGGTATGAGTTATAACTACTTCGCCTCCTATCCTCACTAGGTTGCTTGCGCTGGCTGTCACGCTGGTCCCTTGAGCTGTTGGATTCTCACACGCTGAAAGGTTTCTTAACATCGCCTGAGCTCTTCTATGTTCGGAACCATGGCCCCGTCCCATATGTCAAGGATGAAGACATCCCTCATTGGGAAATTAGTGTCGAAGGGTTAGTAGATTGCTAACTTCTCTGCGCAACACCCGCTGACCATAGTATAGACTGGTACAGAAACCTTTGGTTTTAAGCTTCCGACAAGTGTTGCAGCAGTATGATCAAATAACAGCACCAATTACCCTCGTATGTGCAGGCAATCGTCGCAAAGAACAAAATATTGTGCGCAAAACAAAAGGTTTTTCCTGGGGACCGGCGGGATTATCGACTGCCCTCTTTACTGGCCCATTGCTGGCGGATATCCTCCGCAGTGCGAAACCCCTGCGTAAGGCGAAGTACGTCTGTATGGAAGGAGCGGATAAGCTGGTATGCTGCACCTCTATTGTATGATGATGATTGCTAAGTTCGCTGCAGCCCAATGGTCACTACGGCACATCCATTAAGTTGAACTGGGCCATGGACCCCAACAGGGGGATCATGCTGGCCCATAAAATGAACGGGGAGTCTCTTCTTCCAGACCATGGTCGTCCGCTGAGGGCCGTCGTGCCCGGTCAAATAGGAGGCCGAAGTGTCAAGTGGCTGAAGAGGTTGATCTTGACTGATGCACCAAGCGACAACTGGTACCATATCAATGACAATCGTGTCTTGCCGTACGTCTAAGGTGCCTTATAATCTCCCAGTCCATGATGTGTCTAACTGTCTGCCTAGAACAATGGTCTCACCTGAGATGGCATCAAATAACCGAAATTGGTGGCACGATGAACGGTATGCGATTTATGACCTAAACACTAACTCCGCCGTTGCATATCCTCAAAACAACGAGGTTTTGAATCTCCTGTCGGCAGGGCCGTCATATAATGTCAGGGGATATGCGTACGCCGGTGGGGGTCGCAGGGTTACCAGGGTGGAAATATCCCTAGACAAAGGCAAATGTACGCAGCCTCGTGGGCTCAATGAATGAGAATTCTTATCTAAGCTAACAAATTTTTAGCTTGGAGATTAGCGGATATCGAATATGCGGAAGACAAGTATCGTGATTTTGAAGGCGAGCTTTTCGGAGGCAAAGTAGATATGTACTGGCGCGAGACTTGTTTCTGTTGGTGCTTTTGGTCTCTCAACATCGCCATCTCAGAGCTTGAGAGCAGTGATGCTATCCTGGTAAGAGCCATGGACGAAGCAATGGGCGTGCAGCCTCGCGATATGTATTGGTCCGTTCTCGGGATGATGAACAATCCCTGGTTCCGGGTCACAATTACGAAGGAAAACGGGAACTTGAAGTTTGACCATCCTACCCACCCTAGTATGCCTACAGGGTGGATGGAACGTGTCAAGAAGGCTGGGGGTGACCTGACGAATGGTAACTGGGGAGAAAGACACGAAGGAGAGGAGCCGACGGAGCCCGAACCCGTACAAGAAATTAATATGAAGAAAGACGGGCTAAACCGAACGATCGGTTTTGAAGAATTCAAGAAGAATTCCAGCGATGAGAAACCATGGTTCATCGTGAATGGAGAAGTGTATGATGGTCAAGCATTCCTTGAAGGCCACCCTGGTGGAGCGCAGAGTATTATCTCCTCTGCTGGTCTGGATGTCTCTGAGGAATTCCTTGCTATTCGTGAGTCCCAAGCATATCACACTGCAAACATACCATTCACTGACAATCATTCACAGATAGCGAGACGGCAAAGGCGATGATGCCTGAGTACCATATTGGAACGATGGATCCGGAAGGTTTGAAAGCGCTGAAAGCTGATACATCATCCTCGTGTGATGAAGTTCGCCCTGTGTTCCTCCAATCACGGTCTTGGACAAAGGCAACGCTGAAAGAAAGGAAAGACATATCATGGGATACACGGATATTCAGTTTCCAATTAGAACACGAAAATCAGACATTGGGTTTACCAATCGGCCAGCATCTTATGATCAAAGTTCTCGACACATCGTCCAACAACGAAACCATCATCCGCTCATACACTCCAATCTCTGAAACCAGCCAAAAAGGGACCGTGGACTTGCTGGTCAAAGTATACTTCGCAACAACCACCTCGGCAGGCGGCAAGATGACGATGGCCCTGGATAGACTGCCATTGGGCTCCGTGATCGAGTGCAAGGGTCCGACAGGCAGATTCGAATATCTTGGAAATGGACGAGTTCTCATCAGCGGTAAGGAACGCCATGTTCGGTCGTTTAAGATGATTTGTGGAGGAACCGGCATCACACCAATCTTCCAGGTCTTGCGTGCTGTGGTTCAAGACCGACAAGATCCCACCTCTTGTGTCGTTCTCAATGGAAACAGACAGGAGGAAGACATCCTTTGCCGGGCTGAGCTCGACGGCTTTACAGCATCCGACAGCAGAAGGTGTAAAATAATCCACACCCTGTCCAAAGCGCCTGACTCGTGGACTGGCCGTCGAGGACGCATATCCGAAGAGCTCCTAAAGGAACATGCGGCTCCAGAAGATGAAAGTATGGTGCTGATTTGTGGTCCGCCAGCCATGGAAGAATCTGCTCGGAGGATACTATTGGCAGAAGGATGGAAAGAGTCGGACCTTCACTTTTTCTGATTTTGTATTATCCAAGGAATGGCGTGATGAGTATGGAAGACATGAGTCATAACGGCGTTGCGAATATATACAGGGTTATATTTGGGAGAAGCAAACACAAAAAGTCGCGTTAATAGGTATCAATGTTCTTAAGGGATTATCACGGTAGAGGGACGAAATACAACGAGACGGAAACATTGTTTAGCATAATATTTTAGTAAAACCTGGTGCGATAGAGCTTGTATTCGATTCTCAGTAATATTTTCTCATATCCAAGCGCGCCAAGAGGTGGTCAAATACACTTGTAGACGCCTCTCTGGATGCAAAGGTTGTGCCGGACCTGCCGAAAGGCTTCGAAGATGCCTTCACGCCATCTAAACTGCGTAGATAACTCACGAAAAGGGATGTTTGTTTCCGGAACGTAGCGTACAACTGATAGACAATAGCCTCACTTTCGTGGCGCACGCCGCTTGTTCCATCCATCCTCGACAATGGAGCAAACGTTAAAATCGTACCGAAAATACTTTCCAGCAACTTCGCTGCATCAGCATGTCTTTTGCTGAGGAAAAGCGCAAACAGCATTTGGTCGAGAACATCTTCATGATAGTCTCTAAGTCGAGGAACAGAAGCAGCTGCTTCTATCGTGCCATCAATATCACCGCGGTCGAGGCAGCGTTCAATCTTAGCCAAGCTATCTTGGAACCGCTGCCAAGTCGAACCAATGCCGACATGAAAGCAATAATCACTCAATACAAGCACGAAATGTTGGCAATCGATGCGGAATTTCCGGTACACGTTTCTAGGATCCCCAGATAGGGAGTCTCTCCCCGTAGAATCACGAATGAGACCTTTGACGACCGAAACCATTCGGAGGAGTCGAAGCAGATGCTTGAAAAGATGGTCATATTTGCTAAGCGATCGCGACGTAATGATAGCTTCCAAGACATCTGATGGTTTGTATTGGAGGCGTAGGAAATCCAAAGCCTCAATTGCATTGGGATCCTTGCATTTGGTAACTTCTTCATCAGTCAACTCTCGAATTGAGAAACTGAGGCCGCCAGGAAGTTCTCTCTCCTTGCGGGACTCATTACCCGTTGAGCTGTCTGAGCGATCATCAAAGCCGTGGCACTCATTAAGGAGCCCAATGAGCACCAATCGCAACTCCGAGCTTGCAGGAGGCCAAGTGTCACGGCTCCCTAACCGCAAACCAGTGTGGACACTGCTACGGACAACACCAGATTTTCTCTCGCCGCTCTGCATCTCTGGATCAAAGAGAGCGTGCGACAGGCGCGACGTGAAAAAGCCATCCCCAAGAAGCTGGAACCGCCATTGCAGAGCTAGGTGATACCGGACCTTGTGCTCCTTGAACAGCAGGTGAAGACAAGAATAGTCAATTAACAACGCCTGGGACGAAAGAGGTGGTGCAAGAGAGAGATATAGGGCGGAAGCTAACTCTGGGCCGAAATTACACTTATGATCCTCAGGCCCTCCAAGACCCTTGTCGTTCCCTCCGTCAATTAATCGGGAGAGCTCGTCTTTCTCCATAGAGGATTGGTTTGCGAGCAATCCAGTCGTGTTTTGCGCGTCATCAATGTCAAATAGGTCAAAGGTATCTTTGAGTGTATCACTAGCCGCACCACGGGCAAAAGGTTGGGAATCGATTTGCAAGTCTCTCTTGACAGAAGGATCTCCACGATTATACTTGAGAATTTCGCACCGTAGTTTGTTCTCGTAGGTCTTTGCTTTTTGCTGTATCCTTTCAATGTCAGTCCATGTGCTAGCACAGCTGAGCCTGGGGACGTCGCCGTTGCAAATTCCGTCACTCGCGATTGGATGATGTGGATGGAATCGTTTAAGCAGGCGCAGGCTTCGCCCGCTTTCGAAAATTAACTCTGCTTGGTCTGCGGGAATGAACGATGGCATCTCAGTGGGATTATATCTGTAGTCAAGCCTTGTTGATTGAGAAGATATCGTCTTCGGATTTTCTTCTGAGCGCTCCAAAGCCACAAAGCTTCTGCCATTTGCCGCCAGCTCTTTCAACGTCGACGCCTCCAAGCGAAGGCCAATCCAAGTCTCCACATGCTCAAGAAACGGATACACTGTCCGGATAACAATCTCGCGGAAGAGATCCTCCATATGGCCGAAGCTTTGGGAAAAATGGGCGGCCTTTTCAAGCACGATGGAGAATATCTGAGCATCCGAGACAACACCTTCAACAGCTTCGACCAGGTCTGCCAAGACACCAGCTAATTCTGCGCATCGTTGAAACAGGGCTCTAATCTGGATGAGGGACACTATATTGTCAGCGGAGCTGAGAAGCCTCTTTTCAACGATGTAAATGACGACGGCTACGGCGCTCGAAAGTGTAGAAAGAGCCGAGAGTTTAGTTGACTTGGATGGAGCTTTGCCAACGAAGTTTCGCACCCGCTGCATATCTGTACCGCATCGTATCATCTCATCAATCAAGCCATTAAGTGCAGCGACACTAACACCCGAGAGGCGGAGGTCATCAAATAAACGCTCGAACACTTGGCGTTCTCTATCGTATCGGAAAAACAATGAGCTCCAACCAAGACCAAGTCGAAACAGGGATCGGAAAAAGACATCATTTCGAGCCACGCGGGCTGGTTTCCCGAGCCCGTTCACTGCAGCCTGATTTGCCAATGCTGCATCGAATCCTCTAGACCCCGATTCACTAAAATATGCGGAAGTGGGTTCATGATACAATCGGTTTTGACAACTCTCCCACGTCTTCAATAATCCTTTGCCGTCAATTTTGACATCCAAACTATCCAATGCCCAGATATCCTCTGACTCATCTCCTGTTTCGGAGCGTGCAATGCTCGGTTCGGCATGAGTTTCGCTTGACGCATCGGTTGTTGATTCCGGTAACAAGTCTGGATTGAATACATCGGTTTGGAAAAGATTCAACTGGCGTGAACTAAAACAATCTTCATTGAGCGATTCTAGAGGACTCCTGAAGAAGCCCCCAGTCAGATCTGGTAAAAGCGAGGAGTTAGTATTCGAGAATGGACGGATAAGCCTCCAGACAATGATACGCACCTGGCAACTCTTCGTTCCATGGGAGTGGTTGTAGTGGTTGTAGCGATTGCAGAGTGAACTTCGATAGCCTCCACAGACCCTCACTCGAGAATGGGTCCGTATCACAATCTTCCTGCTCCATCTTATGACACGGACTGCTCCAAGGCTGACGCCATAGAAGCAAACCCTTATCAGCTGACGACGCGTTGGCGGCGCGAAATCACACCTGACTAGCCTTAAAATGTGCTAGCGTCCCCCCGGGGCACGCTTGGACCACCGCTTGTTTGGGAAACCGAAGCCGAATGAAATTGTCGCGACACGACCTACACCAGCTCCGCACGTGTGTCGCGCTCCAGTACAGAGGATCCTGAACGCCACTGAATATTACAGAATAGAGGACTGTTGTGCAAAACTGTCAATATGCCTCCCAGGAAGAAGCCTAAGCTTACCGCTCAATCCGAAGCCGCGCAACCTTCCGCAAACACCCCCGCCAGTGATAGCGCAGCTCTGCCTAACACAGATTACGACCCAGTGACGGACCCGTGGACGGATGAGCAGGAGACTGCGCTACTAAAGGGGATAATCAAATGGAAGCCGGTTGGTTCGTAGCCATGTCCCGTGTTGCTTTAACAAGCTGACTTCTACTAATCGATATGTCCTGTCAAAGGAATGCACAAGCACTTCCGCATGATCGCTATTTCCGAGTTCATGAAAAGTCAAGGCTACGCACCTGCCCACGCAGAGCATACACGGATACCTGGGATTTGGAAAAAACTCGGGACATTATATAACCTCCCCGCACTCGATGAGCGGGTAGGTGACCACAGTTGCCTATGTTAGATAAGGATTGCTAATATTTGCACTGTGCCATGTAGGAGGACTCCTTAATAACAGATACATCCGATGATATCGAGAGCTCCAAGGAGCTTTACTGTCCATTTGAGCTTCCGGAAGATGAATACGGCGAGTTGATGTTCGAGAGGAGATTAGCAATGGAAGGTTCCGCTTCGCCAGTCCATAGTGCCCACGCCGAATCCAGGCGAGGTAGCACGGTAGCCGACACAGATGGTGCGTCCTACTGGCTCTTTGTTTCTTTTCGAGGTCTGTCTAGATTCTAACTACTAGTCACATTTAGAACCCCGATCCTCTCCGGCGCCGTCAAGAGGTAGGAAGTCAGGTCGTGGAAGCCGTCAATCAGCACGAGGTGCTCGATCTTCGCGGCTACAGGTAGAAATCGAGGCTCCGAGGAGGAGCTCAGGCACAGGGGAAGAGGAAGGTGACTCTGAGGATGCTGGTGCGAATGAAGAAGGGGACGAGGAAGGCTCGGACGGGCCGAAGGACGACAGCGAAGGTGACGAGGAAGCCGAAGAGGATACAGGAGGCTCACCAACCGGACGAAGTACACGAGCCCAGACAACTCGAACAAAACAAAAGGAGAAGAGAAGTAGTGGCACAGGTACCAGACGAGGCGGTCGACGACGGTAGTTTTAATGTGTACTTTTACTTTATGATGGTTTAAAACTTTGATACCTCTGGAGGACTCAGGCAGGCGTTTCTTTTACATTCACATATAGCAGATTTATCATCGCGTTTAGTCTACTTAAATCTTGGCGATCAGTCAACAGAACGCGATGCTCTCGATGAACATGTTAAGTCGCCAAGCGATTGCGCTAATTGATGGGGCAACAATACGACGACAACTAGTGAGGCATATTCCAAGTAAAATGGCATCTAAATAAATACATTGTACGTATAAATAGGTCACTACATTTGTTCTAGTCATTCACAGGCTAAAAGGAGACAATCAAGGGAAATAGTACATGGTGCGAACTGAATCCCTTACAGACGCTTCATGATGGCCTCAGCGTACTCGTGGGTCTTGGCCTTGCCGCCCAAGTCACCGGTGAGAGTCTATATAACGTCAGTAATTGTGGCATACTAGCGAACAGGGGTCAGTATCCAAATCAGCTTACCTTTCCTTCAGCAAGGGTATCGAAAGTGGCCTTCTGGATACGAGCAGCATGCTCGCCAAGGCCCATGTGTTGAAGCATCATGATACTGCTCAGAAGCAGAGCAGTGGGGTTAGCAAGACCCTTGCCGGCAATGTCGGGGGCAGAGCCGTGAACAGCCTCGAAAATGGAGCACTCGTTACCGATGTTACCGGAGGGAGTGAGACCGAGACCACCGATCAGACCGGCGCACATGTCAGACAGAATGTCACCGTACAGGTTGGGCATGACAAGAACCTTGTCGTTGTAAGGGGTGGGGTCGGTGACGATCTTGAGGCAAGAGTTGTCCAGCAGCTCTGCGTCGAATTCAATATCAGGGAACTCCTTGGCAATATCACGGGCGAGGTTCAGGAAGAGACCATCGGACATCTTCATGATGGTAGCCTTGTGCACGACGCGGACCTTCTTCTTGTTGATGGAACGAGCGTATTGGAAAGCAAAGCGCAGGACTCTCTCAGAGGCCTCCTTGGTGATGAGCTTGATGCTCTGCACAACGCCATCGACGACGACGTGCTCAATGCCAGAGTATTCACCCTCGGTGTTCTCACGGATCAGGACGGTATCGACGTTGTCGTAAGGAGTCTCATAGCCAGCAACGGAACGGCAAGGACGCACGTTGGCGAAAAGGTTGAAGGTACGGCGGAGAGTGAGGTTCAGAGAAACGTGTCCCTTTCCAACGGGGGTCTAAAAATATTTCATGCTCAGCAAAAAGATTTCCATGACACATGAAAGCGTTGACATACAGCAAGGGGCCCCTTGAGGGCGACGTAATTCCTCTTCACGCTCTCAATGGCTTCATCGGGGATAGCGGTCTTTCCATCCTTCAAGATAGGAGTAACATCAACTGGCTCCCACTTGACGGGGGCCTGCAAGTAAAGTTAGCAGCACGTCTTCAAAGCTACAAATGGCCTGGAGGGAAGAAATATTACGTTTGCGGCAGCGAAGATATCCTTGACGGACTGCGAGATCTCAGGACCAATGCCATCACCCTCAATCAGAGTGACTGTGTACTTTCCCTATATAGATAATATTTCCATCAGAAAGCTTGTTTTGGAGGGGTTTAATTTAGTTTTGGATTGTGTATAGATCGATTGTCCAAAGATCTCTGGCGGGAGACGCCGGACCAAGGGAAGAAAAGATCCGTGAGAAAAAAAAATTTCGGTGACTTCGGGCGCAACATACATCGGTGTCCTTCTGGCCCTTGAACTTAGCGACACGCTCGTCGGCAGCAGCGGCATAACCACGGAGCTAGGTAAACTAGGTTAGCTACGCAAGAATTGACGGTTGAGCCGGAGTTGGAAATGGGCTTGGTATATACCTGCGAAAAGGGCGAGGCAATGCTTGGGGAGACACGAGTGCTCCGCAAGCACTGGCGGGCGGGGAGAGCGAAGTTCCTAGCGGCAAACATTGTGACAGGTCCCCGGGATCAGCGACAAACAACACAGGGTTGGAGAGGAGAGTATATGGAGGATGGGAAGGAGAGAAAGAAGAAAGGCGGCGGGCTGCTTGTGCGGGAAGTGAGAGAAGGTTCCTCAGGCCAATCTTGACCACTCTCGGCACCGCCGCTGCCGACCGACCGGCATGGCATCGATTCCGTGTTTGGCCAGAATCCACTTGGTGTCCTTTCCTAGATCAGATAACAACTGACGGGCCACGGGTCACCACACCTCGTTCATTGTCATTATTATTTTCATGGTAATTTGTCCAATACCTCCCCTAAACCTAACTTATAGCCTGGCGCCCTAAATTTCCCCACTGGTGCGGCTACGTGCTTCCCTGCATGTGGCCTCCTGGATCGTTCTACCCCGGCGGTTGATCGGTCACCTGCCCCCTCCTAGGCTAAGCGCGCGGACACCTTGCAACAATGGCCGACGCAGACATCGCAAACTACTATAATCTCCCTTCAGCTTTTCCTGAGGAGTGGCCTGCAGAGCTAGATGAAAGCGATCATTCGGAGGATGAGGCACTCGCCCGCACTGCTTCGCGGCGATCCCGGTACTTTGCTCTCGAGCGCAGTAACAGCCGCCAGCAAGGCGTTAACCTAGAGTCATTCAAAGGAAGCAATGGTCGGGAAAACCTCGTCCAAATGGACGAGCCGGATCCGCTCGGGACAGGCGAGAGCGTCCTCAAGATCTTGAAGAAGGGGGGAGTGTCTGTAGAAGAAGAGAGTCGTTTGCGGAATAGATTCTTGCTCTCGTCTACTTCATTTTCTCCGGCTTTGTTTCTTTCGCAGGCTCATTCCGATGCGTCGATTAAGTCACTACTTAGTGGACTGGAATTTCTTTCACGATCGATCGACCAGAAGTCAGCTTCGTTGAAAGTACTTGTCGAGGCGAACTTTGAGCGATTCGTCCGTGCCAAAGCAACAATTGATAGTGTATATACAGAAATGAGGAATCAAGGGAAGGTACAACACCTATCGGCTTCGCACGCTCGCCGCAGGTCAGGACATTTTCGGAACATCTCGTCTGGTAAACAGAGCATAACTCCCGCAACAATTACCGACTCGGGTCCCGGGAAGAATGCTCTGACCAAGGAAAGTGAATACGGCATGAAGGGCATCCGCGGTCCACTTTTAGAAGCCTCTGTTAAAGCTGAAGAAGTCTGGGGGCCTGCATTAGGGGGCCGTGAAAGAGAACAAGTTCTAAAATCGGTCGTCGAAACTATGGAGAAGCACCGGGATGTCTACGAAATAGGTGGGCTCCTTTCGAAGTCCATCAAGCAGAGAGATTATGATTCTGTTTTCGAACAGTACACCAGAGCAAGGACGCTCGCGAAAGAGGCCAGGAATATTGTCGATACGGCGACGAGCAAAGGTCGGCCGTTAACAGACGAGGAGACTCATATGATTTTAGCGATGGGGAGGATGTGGATGGATGTCGACCAGCAAATACAGGCATTCAAGCATGACCTTTGGAGGCGCTTGAGTGAGTCACCTATCGCCTCGACAACGGTGACCGTTTCAGGGCCAGTTGAGGAACATATGGAGCTAATTGGCGCCCTGCTGGAATTGGGGGTCGAAGACAATCCCATCTGGGTCTGGCTTCTTGGTCGCTATGAATACTTGAAAACGAAAATTACAACTTTTTGCGAACGCGGCAAAACGGAACTAGAGATACTCAGGCGCAGACTGGCTTCTGGCGAGAAGCCGACTCCTCAAGCACTGGCGTCCTATCTCCGACTCGCTCCTCGTGACGGTGCAGCAAGTACTCCAGCGACGCTTGACACTGACCAGGTCATCGAACTCTGGGAGTGTGTGCATACTTACTTAAATAGACTGCTATCGTCACATGGTGGCCTTCTGGGCGAAGTCTTCGATTTCTGGGAAGCGGCACAATCCTTTATCGAGGGTAGCAAACAAAAGCTTCTCCCAACTGGATTCGAAGGTGAGAGTCGTAAGCATCACCAGCTCTCCAATAATGACTCCAGTGAGCTGCAGAAGGGCGTTGTCGAGTTAATTAATCTAATTCGCGAAAGCATTCTGTCGCTGTTCGCCGACGCTCCAGTTGAGGATGTTACTATCCTCACCTCTCCAATACCACCACCAAGCCCCAATAGCCCGATGAGCGGAGGAATCACTCCCACCGAGTCCCGTTTCAAGCTAGATCCTAAGAACATGCCATTTCCCACCCCAAAGCGTGGCGAGGCTTGGGAGGACTATGCATTTTGGCCTCCCTTTTCCAACTCCCTTAGCGGCATTCACTACCTCGGCCAATTTCTCGTCCTCATTGGCAGAGCAGCCAGTGAAATGGCTGCATTAGCCCCTGTACGAAGTACAGATAACGCTTATGATCTCCTCAAGTCACTTGTGAGCGTCACTCGTGAACGTTCTGTTCGCGCAGCATGCTACGCTTGGGGCAAAGATGCAGAAGTTTGCAAGATGTTGGAGGACTGGACGAGGGATTCAGAGAAAAAGGACTTGACTAAGATGCCCGGTTTGTTTGTGGCTTTTGAGAATGCAATTCTTAGTGGAATGCAGAAGATCCTCTACATTTCGGAGGCCATGGTAAAATCAGGTGACGTAGATGTTGTCACACAGCCTCCTGCGAAGCTTCTACAGATGGTGCGCACGCAGTTTGTGTCCAGTATTTACAAGGCCCTCAGCGGCTTGGTCGAGAATGCGGAACATCCCACAATTCTTCAAGAGGATAGTGAATGGGTGCTCGCGGAGCCTGCGGCACGTAGCCTTTCTGATACGTCCACAGCGATTTTCATCGCGGATGCGGTCGATGCTCGAAATAGGGTAGGTCTCTCATGGATTTCGAATGCTTCCATGTCAACTAATCCTGGTTATAGAATGTTCGCATACTCCTCACTTTGTCGAATATCAAAGCATTCCAAGCCGATCTTGTCCCGCAGCTAGTAGCGAACTTTGAAACTTCATTTTCCGTCAAGTTGACTGAGGAAGCCAATACTATTCGCGACGTCCTCAGTCAGATTGACGACCGCTTGTTCCAGTCGTACACTAAGCCAACAATCAACAAATTGAACACAACGATTATCGATGGCATCACTTCCCCCGATTGGGAGCCGACCGTCCCTCGCCCCGAGCAAGTCCGGCCGTATGTTTACAACGCCATGCTGACTCTTGTGCTTGTCCATACGGAAATCTCGACTACCATTCCTTCCAGTTCATCGGCGGCATCTAATCGGTCGTCTCCAGCAGGCCAGCCACCCCTGCTAACCATCGTTCTCACGCACTTGTTGACAAAGATCTCTTCATCTCTCCTAACGGCCTTCAGCTCCCGGTCGTCGTATACCTTAGCGGCCTTGATGCAAGCCACTCTCGATACCGAGTTTATTGCACAGACCATGTCGCAATTTTCGACAGATGAAGCCTCTGCTGTGCAGAGCCAGATCTACGTAGAACTCGACCGCCGAACCTCACACGAGGCCCGGGCTCGTCTTCAGTCAGAGCTTGGTGAAATGCGGGGAACGCTGAAACGATTGAGGGAGAGAACTAAAGGAGAGTTTGCCTGCTTTAGGAAGCAAAGAAGTCGGACGGAGCCTAAGACCCCAGCATAGTAGTTAATGGTAGATAATTGAATTTTGGCAATCAACACACCAGAGGTGCATCTAAAGAACGTAAATAAGATCCAGTGGGTATCATTTTTAAATAAAAAACTTTTGAACCATCATCATGTCCCATTTGAATAGCTCCCCTCTTCTACTTCTGGCCGACCATCCGTTGCACCCGGCTCAGCAACACGTTACTTTCGCGACCTAATCTCCTCTTCCCATGCTGGTCTGGTCGTCTAGCCTTAGCCATTGCCTCGCGATCCTTTTGCCTGAAGTCGCGCTCCTCCTGTCGCTTTTGCGCCTCCTGTCTGCGCTTCTCTGCAAGCTCCATCTCTTTCGCAAAAGCGGACGGCTTAGGCTTCCGTTTCCGGCGACCTTCGCCATCTTGATTTCTAGCTCGCTCGGGGCGGGGGGTTCTCTCAGGCGCTGGCTGATCTAACATCGCCTGTCGGTCCGGGTGCAACTCCAGCGAGGCAGGCTCTGCCTCTGGCGCATTACCATCCTTCCCAGCATTTTCCTCTGCTAATTCGTAGACTGACTTGCGGGGGGCAGCGGCGAGCTCTTCGGCTCTCACTTTGGCGTAGGCTTTTTTAACTTTGGCCTTCTGAATCAGGTCGGCTTTGATTTTCTGGGCTATAGTGGGTCATATATTAGCAAGAGGACCTTGCAGGGCCGTTTTAAAACTTTACTTCATAGATGAAGGGGGAGAGAGAAAAAAAAGGAAAAGGAGAAAGAAAACAAAAAACTTACTTTTCCGGCGATAGGTACCATCAGGCAGGTTTGCAGGTCCCACAGAAAATCCCTTCTTCTTCTTTACTGGTGGTTCAGTTGTGCGTTGTTCTTCGGACTTTGCATCAATATCTCGGGAGCGCTTGGCCGCCATGCTGAACGAACCTGGTCTTGTTGCCTTAGTCGGTATGGATTTGGGCTAAGTAGTTTGGCTGTACTGAATGATTCACTTGGTATGAATCTTGAGTTGGGCAACAATTGACGTGGCAAGTGGTTCAGTTGTACGAGAGGGAAAAGAAACGAAAAGTTGGCGGCGGACAGTAAGGAAAATCTTTGTGTAAGCTTTGGTTCGCCCGTGCAGAATATTCCGATTTTCGATAGTTTCACGCAGGACGAGGGTGGGCGCATATGAGGTGTCACGGAGGGGGAAGATGAAAGTTGAAGAACCGTAGACGATGCTGTAATGACACAATGATCGTCTTCCCAATGCGAACAAAAAAAAAAAAAGATAGCTTATGATCTTGGTACATACATACAATGAGACACTCTGACTTACTTTGTTAATGTAGCAGGAATGCGATAAGAAACCAAAGATAATGGTACCAAACGGTAACGTTACCCGTGGATTCATAGTCCCATTACAATCCCGTTCCCCTCCGCCTCTAATAAAAAAAAAAAGGCGAACGGATTTGTTCACGGTGGACCAGAAAACCCACCCCCATGTCGTTTCAGGCGCCTCATGACTCAATTATACTCTCGTCATTCAAATAGCTCACCTTAATTTAATCCCTCTTAACTAACAAACTCTAGCTCGCCCACGTCGCAGCATCACCTTACTTCAGTTCGACCCGATCCCGTCATACCCTCAAGTCTCTCCTGACAAAGACCGCCACTTCAATCCCAAACATCCTCTTCGTTTACACCTTCGTTGCTCCCCTCATGCGTCCTTGTACTTTCCCGTCGGCCTAACGATCTTTCATTGGGATGTATAGCTTTTTGTTTTTCCAGTCAATACTAACTAATCCCCGGTGATCATGCCCATATTCCAGGATCCAGATCGTCAGCGGTTCTATGACCTATGGTCGGATGACCACCCGCCGATAAGAGAGGATGAGCGCCAAATTGGGGGCTCCTCTTGGGCCCATCATCATAGGGAGCTGGAACCCTCAGGAAGGCGTACTAATTTCCCTGATGAGACATCTATATCAGATTACAGTCTGTCAGATTTACGTACCTGCGACCGAGAGGGATTGATTCATTACATCAAGAACGCCGATACCTCGGCTTGGGCGCATACGCTGGTAGGTACACTTCCTCCTCTAGAAAGACAGAGCTCCCCAGGAAAAATGATAAGAAGACTGTATCTTTACGGCATGCGCATTTGCTCACATGGGTTATGATGTAGTATGGAGATTCAAATGCTGGCCATTCCATCTCCCGCACGCCGGACAAAGCATCCGACATGAAAGCCGGATTTATTGAGCAAGGCGTTCCTAGCGATAGCCCTGGTACAAATGATCAGGAATTAAGCTCGCCAGCTGATATCCAGCGCCCTCGGTCAGCGCTACATTCTGGCGACTTTCGAGAAGGGGCCCGTCAGGATTCGCAATCATTACCGCAATCACCGCTACATGGACAAGATACCGGCTCACGGTTTCCCCTTCTGGGCTCTTCACCAACTGCCCCTTGGTTCACGGCCCCCATTTTTGCATCGCCCTCGAGAACGCAATCTACCACAATCAGTGTGTCTGATGAGAACGTGAGGCCACCATCCCGCTCACGGGCACCGTCGGTGGGCTCCTTCTCTTCTAGTTACGTCCTAAAGGCGCCGACAAGCCCTCTTGTATACCAGGCGAACAATACCGATTTAGATTTTTCCTCCAGAATCGATTCAACTGAACAACTTGGTCCCTTGGAGAGGGCCAACCGTCGTCGTACGCTACCGCCAGAGACTTTCCGGCACCTTCAATCGTCACCCACAACCCACCGAGGAGCATTCAACTTCCAGTCCGACCATTCCCCTGGGAAATGGAATGATTCGCTCCCGTTCCACCATTATAATCCACGCCGGTCTTTAAACTCAGCGTATACCCTTCAACTAGCGTCTTCGGTGCAAAGTCCATCCTCCAGAATCAGGCGGCCCTCGTTTGCTGCGGAAAAGTCTTCCAGGCCGCATGCTCCATTAGTTGGGTCCTATGAGGAATCCATTTTACGTGGAAGAATGTCAATGAATCCATCAAAACCACTCGATTTCACAGCTCAAATAGGTGTTTTAGGGAAAGGCAAATGTAAAGCGAATCTCAAGTGCCCACCCCACGTCACCATTCCGTTTCCAGCAGTTTTCTACAGCTATCCCACTTCGGGGAGCGGTCGCTCGATTTCGGACGATAACCCTAGTCCTTACGTTGGCTTGATAGACTTGGAGAACTCTCTTCCAAAGGACACAACAGCTACAAGTCGACGCCGCAGACAGCAGCAAAGCCCCGCACGTGTCTGCGGTGAAATGACAGACAATCCACCACCGCCTAGGGCCAATGACCAAGATACTCTTCGCAGAAGAGAGAAGAGACACAGGAGGGCCGAATCACCCAGATGTCCACCAGGGGGCTGCTATCGAATCCCTCAACAGGGCCAGCTCCAGGTCATGATAAAAAATCCGAACAAGACAGCTGTGAAATTATTCTTGATTCCATACGATCTCAGCGACATGGAACCTGGAAGCAAGACATTTATTCGGCAGAGAAGCTATTCAGCGGGTCCTGTCATCGATATGCCGTTAACTGCACGGAAGAACTATGGGACCGATCGTCCAGAGGTGTCCTTGAACTCATCGGAGGACCCGAAGGACAAGCCTATCCTGAGGTATCTGATACATTTGAACATATGCTGTCCGTCCAAGGGCCGTTTCTATCTACACTCAAGCATCCGTGTTGTTTTTGCTAATCGAGTTCCTGACGGCAAAGAAAGGCTCCGGAATGAGATCCAGCATCCGGAGCCGCGATATGCGCCGTATAAGCCTGCTCGTGATGTCAATCAGACGCAGTTGAATACGAAGCTAGTAACGGATGGTGGATGCCGAAGATCAGCTGCTGATCAAGGATCTATTCCAGCTTCATTACCCTATCTTGCTTCCCCATGTGGACAAGAGGGTCAGCCTGCAACACCAATACCAGCCATTGAAGCACAGACCGTCTCTAGTAACTTAAAGGATGCCCGGTCGGGGCAGCGAGCTCCTCATCCTTTCCGGCCCATTCCATCCCTAAGGGAAGAAGTACTTCCCCTGCATGATTACGATGCAGCCGAGCCCTATCAAACTGGTAGCGGAACGTATAGTAAACTCACCAAAGGAGACCTTGGATACGGTGGCTATCCATTCAGCCCCATGGGCGGCTCTGAAGCCGGCGAAAGCCTACTCGCCAAACGACTGAGAGGACTAGATGTACAGAAGCATAATTCATCGGGCATCAATTAAAGCCACCCAAGATTACCAAACCGCCCGTCGACACACTCCACCTAGGCCCGCTCCACATCTCTATCAGTATAAATCGTCTTATCTAGTCTTTCCTTTTGCTATCTCTTTTTCTCGTTGACTTGTTACCACAGTGCAGGATACACGCTGCCTAACTGACATTCAAGGTGCAGGCTCATCTTCTGGACATGAACACAATCGCCCCCCGCTTTCCACAATCCTACACGGGCCAGCCAGGGCGCAAAACATACGTACTTTAATACCCAAGTTCTCATATTTTCAATTCACGGCGTCAACAATGCTTCGGAGTCCAGGAAGTCTCCTCTCTTTTCACTGATTCGTTTATTTTGTCAAGGCGTACAGAGTTCAAGTTCAAGTGGCGGTCATCTGTCTTGCGAGTATTGAGTGTTTTCTAACGTGTTTTGCTCTGGTTGTGTGGGAGGTTGGCTACTTAGGTTAAATATACGGTTAAACAGAATAACACATACGCATATACGTTGACAGAAAGTTCTCTGAGATATACCTTTATCTATTCGTACCTGATTGCGCCAGTGACTACTAACTCACCTAGATATCTGCGAACTTTTTTCTTTCCAAGACCAAGCTCGGCAATACGACGCAAGAAACGAGCCAGCAGGAAGATCAGTCGTCCCCTATGCGGGCAGTTACTTCTAAGTACGCAGCACAAAGTCCCAAGATAGATGATGTATTTCCATGGGGCCATATCACACGTTTTACCCTACAAGTAAACGAAGTTCGTTGGATAATCTCCATTGAGAACCATTTTATGATCTCTCTACTTCTTTATGCCTGCTCTTCGTGTCTGCTGGTATTTACTGGCTGTCTCAAGCATGGGATAGGAATTCGAGACCATAGCTGAACCCCGATGTCTCCATATATCCCCGTCATCTCTACCTATAAACATGGACGTTGTATACTAATTTGGACGAGTACTTCTCATAATACTTAGATTTTAATCTTGATAACCGCTTCCTGTAATATATACTGTATCTCATGAGCCTGCTGCTAAGCCAAAAGTTGGAGGATCAATGATTATGTGGGGTCTCGTTAATGGCTCGTATCAAAAAGCTCTAGAGCGAAGTGGTCTTTTGTAATCATTCGTTGGGTAGCTGGGCCAGCCCACGAGTAGCAATCGAAGTCCACCCTAACTGACAGGAGCATAGATATTACGTATTGTATCTTAGTTGAAGATATGTTAGCCCTAATGGGAGTGAAACGAAAAGAGTCTACAAGCTGTCCAGAATTTCTAGTACAAGTTGTTGGTGGCTAAGCCTAGTGCCTCAGGCTGTCTAAATATATACTAAATGTGCAATGGTACGTGCATATCAACCAGACTGAACAAGGTGACATCAACTCTTGCCAACACCACTTGACCACACACGCAAATTATACAGAAAGAGACTGAAGTTGTTTATCTAATTTGAGTCTAAATCCAAAGGGGATGGTGCTTATATTGGTCGTATATGTCAAAACTTGGCCTGGCCAACTATTACTATCCTAGCCATTGCATTAGATGTCGTCCAAAATTGGCAGCTGACCAAACACACAATTTCGAGGTATACCTCAGCGCCGTAATAGACTTATTAATGTTTAGCCTGCGTGCTCGACGATCTCGTTCACCAGGACGCCGTCCTTGACGTAGGACTTGATTTGTTCGGGAACCGGGCACTCCTTGGTATCTTCGTCTGTTCCCTCCTTTGGGGGAAGCATGATATTGATCGCTGTGCATTTGCTGGAGAAAACCTCGGTATTCAAGCTCTGTGGGCCGAGATAGACCGTGGCACCGTCGACCTGGTCCAGCAAGAGCGTTGGCGCCACACCGTCGATCTGGAGAGCGAATTTGGTACACTTAATGACATCAAGGCTGCTCACGAGGGAGTCAACAATGATGGAGAGTTCCTTGCAGTTGTCGATGGCGATGGCGTTGGCCTTGCTAGACACCTTCACAATGGTCTTGTTGCAACGGGAGATAAGGATAGACTGGTTCTGCTGGGCAGGGATCTCAACGATTTCACCCGCGTTATCGAAGTTCTCGATGTACCACTTGTTACTCTCGAGCTCCTTACGAGGAGGTTTGCGGACGCGCATGCTCTCCGGCTTAGGCTTCTTGCTCGGGGCTGGAGACTTGGAGCGAGAGATGCTGCCTTGCGAGTCAGGACGCTCCGGAACGGTTGAGCTTGCGCGAAGGCTAGGGTTCTTGTGCGTCATTTCGGACTTGTCGACTTTCCGGAGACCAGAGGTGATAGCCTCACCCTGGTTCAACTGAGCAAAAACAGCGGACATATCTCCTCCCGGGGCCGCACTGGGCGGCGGAGGAACGCCAGGTGGTGGTGGGGGTGGTGGAGGAGCTCCGCCAGGCACGTTCAGTGTCGGCACAGGGGGTGGGGGAGGAGGGGGAGGAGCGGAACCGCTGGCTCCGGTGCTAGGACCGCCTTTGACTTGTCTGAGGGCTTCCAGCGCATCGATGCCGTTTTGCTCATTCCATGTCAGGCCCTTCGGGTAGTGTTTCTTGAGGTAGGCAGCAAGGGACTTGAAGACCTGATAGTAAGATTGGATGTACTGGACGTGAGTCTTATCCCTAATAAGAACGTAAGTACTTTGGTCCGCGCGTGAATAAGATGATAAAGGTCTTACTTTTCCTTGTACTCCTTCAAGACCTTGTTGCCGTAGTATTCAATGCCACCAACGATCTCACTAACAAAATCTCCTGGCTTAGACTCAAAGAACCATCCCAGAGCCACGATACCTTCCGCGACCGCGCTGAGGTGGTTGAAAAGAGGAGAGGCACGATTCGACTCGCGGATCATATTGATAGAATCGGAGGCAGTGTGAAGCTCTGTCATGAGCTCTGGGGGTTGGGGCTCGGGCTTCTTCGCCTTCGTCGAGACATAAAGGTAGGTGCGCTCAGCTTCAAAAGCTTGCAAGACAGCTTTCGACTACAAAACCAGTCAGTACGCTGTCGCAACCGCAATATAATGACGTTCGGTTGGAGAGCCTCACTTGCTCAGCGACAAGGTCTCCAATTTTATATCCAAGGTCCACGAAGTTGCGCACGTCCTTATTGATCAATGTATCGAAGTCTTCAATTTGAGGAGGGACGACAGGAGCTGCAGGGGCCGGGGGAAAAGCTGGCTTGGGCGGTTCAGGAGCAACGGTCTCGGGAGCAGCGGCGGCATTGAGTGTTTTCGGCGAACTGGGGTCATCCAGTCCCATAGCCATATCCTCCAGGCGGGAGGTCGCGGCTTCCAGCCTATTACATCATTAATGAAACGAAAAGATATGAGTGAAGCACATGATAGATGCTTCGCATGGCAGCTTCCTGTGCCCTATGCTGGGGCAGGCTGATTTGGGATCGTACCGCTTAATAAGGGTAGTTAAATTATGCATATGGCTGGTCGCCATCTTGAATGGCCCCTATAATTGCAAGGGAAGAGGTCCCGAAGACAACTCAAGAGGGATGAAAGATACAGGGAGAGGAGAGAGCCCGACACCTCAAATGGCAGTTACAGAGGGACAAGTGACAGTACACTTGCCCGTAACTATGAAGTAAGCTGTGACTGTTAGAATCGTAAGTTGCAACGGTGTCGGTTCCCAAAAGATGATGCTCCTTATCCCGTGCCTGAGGCCCGGAGCTCCACGAGTGGGTCTTTACGGTACAATACACAACACTGGCTGTTTCGTACACTGTACACTATGACGTTGGCGGTAAATTTTGGTAATTCAACCACATGTACGGAGTAGTTATGGTTTTCTTTAGATGCGATAAGAACTTCTACTACGGATACTGAACCCCGCCAATTCGGACATTGGTTACGCATTATTACCTAGCAATAATGACAGGACAAAGCGGCGCTCCATCTTTTGACAGTGATGTGGACTTTTGCACACTGGGCATGTTCATCCTCGGTATGCTATAACACGCCTAAATCGGATGAACTGTCGAAACCCTACGGTATACTTACGAAACTCCTTTGTCTCATGCAGATGATATTGACTTCGGGGGCATTAGACCTAATGTCAAGAACATCCTCGGGGGTGCAGCGTCTTTCGCGGTTGTCAGCGCTCGCCTAGTCGCTGGAAAGGAACACTCCCACTCTGTTAGCTGGATTGTCGATGTTGGCTCTGACTTTCCCTCCGACGTTCTGGATGTCATCAATACCTGGGGCACGGCATGCGTGATGAGAGAAGACAATAGCCGATTAACCACCAGGGCTTGGAATGGCTACGGCCCCAATGAGAAGCGCGGTGAGTACCTGATCTCCTTGCGCATGAATACCAAAAAGGATACTGATAGACTGCAGACTTCAAATACTTGACCCCTAAATTACGACTGGAACCTTGGATGCTATCCGATTCCCAGGTCTTCTCCAAAACATTTCACATGGTCTGTTCCGCAGAACGTTGCGTCTCTATTGTGCAAAATATACTGCAGCGGCGAGAAGAACTACGACGAGAAGGCAAAGCACCTTCCAGTAGCCAGGCTTCAGAGAGGCCCTTCTTTGTCTGGGAACCTGTGCCTGATCTCTGCACACCCGAAGAGCAAGAAAAGTTTTTTGTCGCAAACCGGGTAGTAGATGTGGTAAGCCCTAATGAACTGGAGCTGGGAATGATGTTTGGACAGACGGGGTGGAATGAAGAGAGCGCATTTGGGAAAGATATCGTGAAACGCATCCTTGGTTCGGGCATTGGCCCGAACGGAAATGGGCACTTGGTGATTAGAGCAGGAAAAGATGGAAGCTATGCATTCGCAAGAGGTCAGAGGATATGGTTGCCCGCTTACCATCAGCCAGATACTTCAGCAAATACGCCAGTAGTCGATCCGACTGGTGCAGGTAATTCTTTCTTGGGTGCACTGACTCAAGGAATGGTGACTGCTGATAGGATCCCAACCAAGATCGTTGGCTCAGTGCTTGCAGGATCTGCTGTCTGGGAAAGGGCATTGGAAGCGTTGGGCAAGCAGGGTTATATACTGTCCTCTCTTATATTCGCCACAGTTGCCGCAGGTTTTGTGGTGGAGCAGATCGGAGTACCCCATCTGTCTACGTCTACCGATGAAAGAGAACTTTGGAACGGAACTGAATTCACGGAACGAGTCCGTCTGTACACGCAGCGATTGTATCGAACACTTGAAGAGTCTCCCCAGAAGCACTTGCAGATCAATTGACCGATTGAAGAACGCCCTTCTATTGTCGTACAGCCCACAATAATATGAAACAAATACCTATCATGCCATATAAACCTTCCGAAGGGTTTCACTGTAGCCCATGCTTCCCCTTTATGACTCGTGCTTTGCAGCTTGCTGTCTCTCGTGTTCGATAATCTGTTTGCTCCAGCTATAGTGGAACAGTAGAATGTTAGTACGTGCAATCTTTGGCAGTGAACTCCGTCGGTGGTGAACTGACTAGCGACTGGGGAAGAATCTGCCGGGCTCTGGCATCCTGTCACGGCGTTCCCGGTCGGCACTAATGCTCCATGTCACGGCACAGATTCCAATAACAGCTGCTCCTATGATAGCAGTGTTGGCCCTCCAATTCGCGGGCTGAGCGTACCAGCCTCCAGCGGGAGACCAGACTTCCTTGGGATACCTGAGAAAGCGATCAGTCAGCCTCACACGGCATCAGGAATTCAGGGAGCATCAATCGCATACGGGATCTTGCCGCCTCCGCCCATTGTGGTAGGAATAAAATTGAACAATGGTAGGGGAAAACGTGGGCGATAGCTTGCTAGGGAAGCGTTGTTCTAGCGGGTTGAAGCCGAAATGGCCGTCGACGTCCCTCGTCCCAGAACCCGTGACGCTAGTTCCATATACGGTTTAGCGTCACCCTGGACTTTCTCACACGACTCGCCGGTCCCGTGACTTCCGCCGAAGCTCGACTTTTCTCCAGCGGTCAAAAGTTCATACAATATCGACGTGGAAACCCCTACACTAAACCTCCACGCAACGCCCCGGGCAATCCAATTTCGTTTTCGCTCATTCCAATCGCCCTTCGGCTTCAGGTTTCCCACTTCCACAGTTGCCCAGATGAAGAGGCTGCAGCTCCAACGATGGAGCAGTTCGGTCCTTTCGCCGCGGGCCCGAACTGGTGGCCGCCTGCAGCAGCATCTGTACTATAATTTGCGTCGCCAATCGACCGTTCCATCTGCTCCTCAGGCGGAGAATGAGCCATTGTTTGAGGAACAATCGCTGAATTCGTCAACTCACATCCCCCAGTCCTCCCACTTCAAATACCTCCTCCCTTCTCCGCCGGTCGAGGCCGCACGCGAGTCCGCAAAACTTGCCGCCCTTCATGCACGCCTCTACCTCCCCTCCCGACTACCGCTCGAGACATTAGCACGCTCTCTGGTCGATTCTTCAGCCGACCCGAATCCTAATTTCAACAATGAAGCATTGGCTTCGCTCGGCAATGACCTCCTGAGCCACTACACCTCCGAATACCTTGTTTGTACATATCCTCGACTCCCCTTAACCGTCATCTTCGCGGCAATGTATGCGTATGTCGGCCCCAAAACTTTGGCTGCAATGGCAAAGGAATGGGGTGTTGAGATGGCTGCAGTGCCTGGTGGGGAGGTTGATCCCGGCCTCTTGCAGTTCAAGAGAGTACTCCCAGGTACTGATGTGACGGCGGAACCAGTTACTGGCACAGAGAGACCCAATGAACACCGGAAATCATGGAGAAAGTCAATGACCTCCAGAGTTGTTTACGACAATGAGTACGGAGATCCTATCAGGGCGTCCGGCGAGTCGGCCGCCCCAGAATCCCAGAATACTCAGGGTGTTACTGCAGAACACGCCAACGCGACATTTGTGCGTGCTGTGATGGGCGCCATCTATCTTCATGCGGGTAGACCGGCTGCCAAGCGATTTTTTGAGCAACATTTCCTCTCTCGTCACCTCAACATCTCGGACCTCTTCAACTTCTCCCAGCCGGCTCGTGACCTTTCCCGACTATGTGCGCGAGAGAACTTCGAGCCACCTGTCGCAAAGATCATCAGTGAAACTGGTCGCAAGAGCAGACACCCTGTCTTTGTCGTTGGTATTTTCTCTGGTCAGGATAAGCTGGGAGAGGGCGCTGGCGCCAGTCTGCTTGAGGCTCGATCCAGGGCTGCCGTGGCTGCGCTCAAGGGCTGGTACCTATACAGCCCATTGAACGTGCGTGTCCCTAGCTCCATGGAAGAAGAGGGCGCTGCACCCTGGAAGCCAGTCCACGTGGACTTGGGTGAGGTGATCGTGTAAGATGATATTGCAAAGAGAAAGAGACACGCGTCAACGTGGAAAAGGTGTTACATTATATGACATGACTTGTCGTCGACGGGAGCAAGAGCACATTACATATTATCTATTCGAATTTGCAAGAACAGGTTTTGTACAGTATGGGAAATCTATTTCATTCGTCTGATGTCTTCTGCTGAACCCTTTTTTATCTTTATTTTTTAACTTTTTTTTCTCGTTTGTCTTGGTTACACATTTGCATTTCCACCCCAATCCGTTTTAGACAGGAAACAGTCCTTAGAACGTAGTCGTTGTAAGGGCTGATTCTTAGACAAAAGTACATAGATGTATGTACCGAATGAATGCATATTACATGATCTCAGCTTGCAGAGTACTTGAGACTCACAATATACCGCGGCAGTCTTACAATTGCAGGGATGCGTCAACTACACCAAAGACGTGATTTAAGGGGATCTACTCGGAGGGGTTGACAATCTCATCCTCCCAATCCCTACCGCTTCGGTCTGTGATCATCTGAACGTGTCCATCGAGGTATTTGCCGTAGTCATCCCAAAGTTCATCAACCCCCGACCCAAACAGATTCTTCCAAAAGCCCGGACGTCCGTTTTCCAACGTCTCACTCTCACCGATATATCCGCTTCGCAGTAGCCGGTCGTTCAACATTCCAACTGCGCCTTTACCAATCCGCACATCCTCCAGCCACTCTAGGAAGAATGCTGTATGCTGATAGCCCTGGTCCCATTTGTCTGCTCTCTCTTGGGCGGATGTCGGCCGTTTCCAGTGCGGCGGAACGAAGCCCGCTTTGAGACGCACAAAATCCGCGATGCCCTCGATCAGGCCTCCGGGTGGACGCGGCACAGAGACATTATCCTGGCGGGGTGCCGTATGCTGATAACAGTGGACCAGCTCATGGGTAAGGACACCGACTATCTCGGCTCTTGGATCGCGCAGCTTCATGGCGGTATGGATATACTGGAGAGACACATGAATCTCCTTATGGTCATCGTCCAGCTCCATACCGGTCGTGTAGGCTACACCGCCAATGTCACGGAGAAAGAAGGTTACGGATCGAGTTGGCGGTATGGAGGGTGTGAAGGTTGGGGTTGGACCCTTGGATGTGGTGACGGTGTGCGGTTCATCTTGCGAACCGGGTGGGGTGTAGAGGTTCTCGATAATATCAGCTAAGGCTTTGTCGATGGTAGAGGCAACGTCCGGTACGAGGAGTAAGAAGGCATCGGAGCCGGGGTGACGTAGATCATTGATCTGGAGACGAAGCTTGGGTCTGGGGGGCACGGTGGACTGTTTGTTTGGACTAGGGTCGGCCG